TTTAACAATAATATTGCAATAATATTTTAAATATTTAATATTTTTTTTAATAACATTTATTTAATATAAATTAAAAAATTGAGAGAAATTTTAATTTCAAAACTTTTTTTCAATTCTGAATTAAATATTTAAATATTTATCGTTTGAATTTAATTTAGAAGAAAATTATTTCAATTTAATTTAAAGAAAAAGTGACCATCTACCTTTAAATTCATAAAATAAAAGAATTTTTCAATAAAATATATTCATAAAAATTAAATTTTTATGAGAAAATAAATTACCAATTAACAAAAATTTCCAGTAAAAGAACTTTTTTTAAAATTTAACAAGTTCATAATTTTACAAAAATTAATATTTTAATGCAAATAGAATTTTTTTTTCTTTGTTTCTACTTAAATATTATTAATAAAAAAATACCGTCTTCTTTTTTTGCGAGAATGTAAAAAGAAACAATTTTTAGAACTCTAGTCAAACTATTTAGAGCCGTGTCCTAAAATATTTCAAAAAAAAAAAAATTTTTTGATGTCGATTATAGGGAGCATTTAAAAAAAAAAGAAAAAAAAAGACAAAAACAAATTTTTTCTATCCAAGTTTTGTCCGATTAATCGAAGCACCGATCGATTTTCCTCTTCTATGCACAATTTCTCGAGTGTTCAAAGTATAATTAATTAATTAATTAATTAATTCTATCGCCCAATAATTTTCAAAAAAAAACTTTGAAAAAAAATGTATTAAAAAAATGAAGATAAAAAACCAAAGCGACTGCATATCGAAATTCTTTTGTTCCTCGCGAGAAAAGAGCGACACAACCGAAGCGTATCAGAGAAATTTTTGTTTGAAAAATAAAAAATTGTTGTATAAAAAAAATTAAATGTGGACAATTTTTGTAAAAAAAATTTCTATCTTATAAACGTAGTCAAGAATACTCGTCAAGAGAATTTTTACGTTTCTAATTACAATTTTAAATTAAAATAATTTTTTTTAAAAATAATTTTCGAAATTTAAGTTTAAAACCATTTTTATAGACAATAAGTAAACAGAATATAAATTCCTTAAAATGGTCAAAAATGAAGAAAAAAATTAAAGAAATTACATTTAAAAAAATACTTGAATTATTTTTCAAGTATTCATTAATTTTTCTCAAAATAAATAAATTTTATTCAAGTATTGATTAATAAATTGAAATTAAAATTTTAGACGTAAAAATCTTCAAACAAATATCGTTCAAAGATTTTACATTTACAAACTCACGATTTGTGCGAGTTTATCAAAAATTTTCAAATCTGAAAGAAGAATTCGATAATTGAAAAAAGAGAAAATTAATTTGCCAAAAAAAACTAATTAAATTCACCGAAAATAAAAGAGGAAAAACTCCTTTTTCGTAAATTTAAACATTAACGCATAAAATAGTAGAATTTTGGCCATCAACACATTTCATCAAATGACATATCGAAAAATATTTTCACATTTTACATATTAAAGTAATTATCACCAACCTTTACTGGTTCGAACTTTATTGCTCGATTCATAAAATACTTGTCGATTTCATAAATATAAATATCGTGTCAAAATGAATATTTCTCAAAGTGACACAACATAACCTCGAAAAAAAATGGAGACAAGTTTTCTTCGAACTGAATCATAAACTTTATAATTATTGACATTTTTCCATATTTACACTGTTCAGAAACTATTTATTCAAACGATTATAGAATAATTGCCGAAAAAATAGAACGATTCTTGTGATAAATATGGATTTAATATTGGAAAAAGCTCAGATGTTAAACACAACGACACAACACTTTACAGTAATGAAATGAAGTTGTGCGCGTACGCATCAAGCTGAACACAGCGCGCACGCCACACTGCTGCCAACCATAGAAATCGAAACTAAAGCGCGCGATAATTTAAAATCGTCTATTTCAAAAAACAATATTTTCAAACAAAAATGCTATTTTAAATAATTATTTCTTTTATAAATAATATAATAATGAAAATTAAATTAAAATTAATTCAAATTTAACTAAAATTAATAAAAAATATCAATTCTTCAACAACAGAAAATGAAAATTCATTTTAGCAAATATTATGCTAAATAAATGGTTTAATAAATAATAAACAAAATTGAGTTTAATAAAAAAATTTACAAAAATTAAGTTAAACAAAATTTTCGGCATAATGAATATTAATTATAAAATAATTTGATTTTAATAAACTGAAAATTATGGTTTAAAATAATTAAAAATAAATTAGAGAAAAATATTTTTTTTGAAATTGAAATTCCGTACAAAGTAAACATATCAAATAGACAAATAAAATAGATTAATTAATAATTAAAGGAAATTACTTTTCGCTCAAAAAATTTTGTTAAATAAAAATAAAAATTATATATCAATAAAATAAAGTTGAAAGTTTCAATTATTATTTAATTAATTTCATTAACATTAATTGATAATTTGCTTATTATAATGAATATTTATTATGAAAAATTATTAATTAAATAAAAATGTTTGTTATTAAAAATTCTTTACAATGAGTTTTTTAAAATAAAAATTCTTTTAAATAATAATTCTTTCAAATAAAAATTTTTGCAAATAAAACTATTTGTCAATAAAAAATAATTTTAAATAAAACTTTGTTTAAATAAAAATTCTTTCAAAATAAGAATTGTTCTTTTAGATAACAACTCTTTAAAGTTTGAAATAATTTTTTCAAATAAATCTTTCTTGAAATAAATTGTTTTTAATAAAAATTTTTTCAAATAAATCTTTTTTGAAATAAAATTTATTTCCAATAAAAATTTTTTCAAATAAAAATTTCTTGAAAGAATATTTTTAAATAAGAATTTTTTCAAATAAAACTACTTTTCAATAGAAATTCTTTTAAATGAAAATTATTCAAAATAAAAATTCTTTCAATTATAACAATTCTTTCAAATAAAAATTCTGTGAAATAAAAATTGTTTAAAAAAAAATCTTTCAAATAAAAATTTCTTTCAAATAAAAATTCTTATAAACAAACATTCTTTTAATTAAAAATTTTCATTGATAAAAATTCTCATTAGTAAAAATTCTGGTAAATAAAAATTCTTTTAAATGGAAATTATGTTTTAAAAAAAGTCGGCCTAACAAAAAAAATTCAAAAATTTCAAAATAACCAAAAAATCACAACACAAAAGAATTTTTTTTTAATACGAGAAAAAATAAAATATAAAATTGCTTAAATTAATAATTCGTTCGGTGAAAAATATTCCTTGCCGAATAAAAATCCTCTTAACAAAATTCTTTAATTAAAAAATACTGAAAAAATTTTAATTTACCGAATAATTTTAAATGAAGAATAATCTAAAGTTAAAAATTAAAAAATTTAAATTGAAAAGTTTTACTTAAACTTAAACTATAATTTTACATTTTATAGAAAATAAAAATTATCTTTCGAGTATTCTCGACACGTTTCCCAAAAATCTATTCGCGCATATCCTTCAATGTACTGAGACTAATGTTTATACCTATTTAACTTTATCTACGATGAAAAAAAATGTTACTCCTATAACATAAACTTAATCAATTATAACTGAAATAAATGTATCAAAAAAAGAAAAAAAAATTCTCGACTTTTGCAAATAGTTCAAAAAAAAGAGAAAAAAATACGACAAATGATGAAAGATTTGAAAAAAAGTGCGAGAATGCGATTTACATTAAAAAAAAAAAAAAAATTGCGCTCAGTCGTATTTTGGAGTCGCTAGCTAGATGGAATTATATTTTACATTGTACAGTTAATATTAATATGAATGCACTATAGATAGATTATATTCAAATCGGAGATACTGATGTTAGCGTGAATTTAAGACAAAAAAAACTAAAAAAAAAAAACAATTATAGCTCAGATTGTTTTTTTCCGCAAATAAAAATAAATTCGTTATTTTCTTATTTGTTTCCCTCTCTCACTCTCTTTCTTTCTTTTTGTGAAAAAAATCTCTTTCATCTTGAAAAAAATAAGAAAATAACAAAAAACAACAAAAACAACGCGAGATTTAAAAAAAAAAAGAAAAAAAAATGAATGCGTAATGATAATTTAGCGAATGATGCATTTAGATTTTTTATACATCGACTCGAAGCTTCCCGATGATGAAAAAATAAAAAAAAAATAATAAACCTTTCTTTAGAGACCAAAGAATTTTGTGAGCGTGATATATCATTGTTGAAAGCATCAGCCTACTCTATAAATATATAAATATATAAATATATATAAATAATGTTGATTTTTTTTACGTCGCGTTAAAATAAGCAAATTTTAGAATTATTATTTTTTTCGCTTTCTTTTATAGAAATACAATTAATTAAATAATTAATTAATTAATGACATTAATTATTGTATATTAATTTTGAGAGTATATTTTAAAAAAAAGGGGTTCGATTTTTGAAAAAAATTATAAATAGACAATTTTTTCCACGTCACTGCACCCGTAAAAATTTGGTAGTGCCTGTAATTAGTCGCATTGCAAAAAAACTGCCCCCCCCCCCTTCCCTCTCCTTCCCAACTTATGAAAAAAAAATCTGGTCAAATGTAAATAAACAAAAAAAAAAAAAATTAGGATTAATTGCCATAACATAATTATGCGAATAAAAATCATTAAAAAAAAATTGTTTGTCTTTATTTCAGAAAATTACCTATTTTTCATTTAATAAATATTTAAATAAATAAATAATTTTCTAAAAGTCTTTCATTTTATAAATGAAACATTTTTAATTTAAAAAATCCAAAAATTACTCTTTAGTAATATTTAGTTTTAATTTTTCTTAATTTTTTGAAAAAAAAATGTTCATTCTGTAAATTCAATTTTTTTCAACTTTTTCCCATTTGTCAGAGAATAAAAAATGTTCATAAAATTAAAAATTGATTTGTATGGATTTGATAATGGTATAAATAATAAGAAATAGAATTAAAAAATAAAAATATGAAAATAAAAAAATATTCTTACCGGAGAAATTACTTTGGAGTTTCTTACGAAAATTCTGTTTATTGAACATGAATGTGTGTGTTCTTTGTGTGTTTTCTTTCTTGTATATAATTTAGAATAATCTATTTAACATTTTCCGCAAATACAATTTTGCCGGAAGTAAATTGTCCTTTCTCTGCAATTTTGGATCAAAAATATTGAAATCGTGTTGCCTCAATTTTTCCAAATAATCTTCTGCTATCAGGAAAGGCAGGAAAATTGGATAAATCTCTTTCGGCACTTTATCTTTCAGTGATCGAGCCTGAAACAAAAGAAACAGTATTTTTAACATTAAAAATAATTTTCAGATTTAAAATTTTTAAAAATGGTACTTATTAGCTAATTAATTACTATTATATATTATTTTCAACAAATATTAATGAAATTCTCTGAAACAATTAAATTAATTTCAAAAAAATTCTTCAGAAGAATTAACTTATTTTCAATAAAATTTTAATAAAATTCTTCTCAATAATTCAATTATTTAAAAAAAATTTCATCACCTTTTGCAAATGTGAATTTGCGCACGAAGAGACTTGAAAAAGTATTTCCTTTAATTCTCGACTGGATTCACAGCGAAAAATTGATTTCACAGAAACCTTATTTTCTTCAATTAAATCCATTGGTAACATGATAATATTTTTTTGCGAATAATATGGAATTGCTCGTATTAATGTGACAATTCCACAAGCTTTACCCAAATGACTCGCGAAATGATCACAATTTAAATCTTTTGTACCATTTGCTTCGAGCAATAAATACAAAATCGATGAAAATGCATTCTCCGCATATTTCTCCATTGTCGATAAATCATTAAATCGTGAATTTTCTAATTTTGCATATCTCGCATCAATGAGACGTTTAAAATAATGTTTCGATAATTTGTGTTGCTTTAAAATCTGTAAAATTAAAAAGAGAGAAAAAATTAGATTTTGCAAAAAAATATTTTTATTTTTGAAATTTTTTTGTCCCTTTTAATTAATAATTTTATTAGATGTATTTTTTTAATTTGTGCCTAGAATTTTATTAAAATTTTTGAAAACAATTTAATTGTTTTGCAATAGAAACTTTGTGAAAATAATTAAATTCTTTTCAGGAATTCAATTGAAATTGTATTAAAAATAATGAAATTCTTCTTTTAAAAATAAATTATTCTTGAAATATTTAAGTAAAATTATTCGTTAAATAATTTATAAGTAATTTTTTTAGTTCTTCAAGAATTAAGTTATAGAAAATAAATTATTGTCAGCAAATAAAACTTACTCTGTGTAATTCTAAAGCTGTTGGCGTTTTAGGCGGTAAATCATTGTAAATATTGTTTATTGTATCGTCCCAAAATTTCAGTCTCATTAAACCATTTCTTTTGTCTTGCACATGATCCTCAACAGTCGCTATTTCAACATTAAAAGCACGAATCGCAAAAGCAGCCGATCTTATTTCATTTTTCAAAAGTAGATTGCACAGAAAACCTTCGTAGTCATGTTTTCTGTGAAAAAAACGAACATATTAAAATTAAACTAAAAGAAATCTTAACGATAAATATTAATTAATTAAAATTTAATTATAAATCATGAAAATTAATTATAATTATAAAATATTATCATTAGAATTATAAATTATTAGAATTAAATTATTATAACTATAAACTATTATGATTTATTATAATTAACAATAAACATTAAACGTATTAATAAAAATTTATTAACTATAATGAATAATAACATTAAACGAATTAATAGTTATTTACTAACTTAAAATTATTTTCCACGTTTTTTTGTTTTTATTTAAATTTTCATAAATAAACGAATAGAAACTCTTGGAAAGAGAACCTAACCTCACTTTCGCAACAATGGTGACACTGCGTGCGAAGAATGTAAAAGAAAATCAGAGAAATCTACATTAAAAAAATCCCACTCACTTGACTAAATTCAAACAATATTCGCTCGGCGATTGTTTTGTTGTTGACATTAAACGAGTGCATTGTTGTTGCAAATTTATATTTAAACACCGCTGTCCACTTTTCCATAACAAATAACACGACATTCGCATATCGATAATCGATATAATATCGTCTACTACATAATCGAAAATTTACAAGGTTGGGTAGTTACAGTAACTTTCTTCCGAACTAAAATCATTCCCCATCCTGTCCTGAACATATTTTTCATATTTTTTTTTAAATTTTAATTCTATTTATTTTTCCCTACTAATTTTATTTTTCTATCAAGAATTTTCCAAAGAAAATTTATCATTGAAAATATTTTATTGTTGATAAGAATTATTAAATATAATAATAATTTACTTTTACGCGCCTTTTTTTCAAATGCATTCGAGACTACAATTCGATATATCGAACTGCATTCACAATCGATTAAACGCGTCGTTGTCGTCGTTGTCGATAATATTCAGACATAACCTCCAAAAAATTAATGACGATATTAAACGAAGAAAAATATTACAAGAAGATCGTTTGCACAATATGGAGGAACAAGTTTATTTATATAATTCAACAATTTGTCGATTGTGTGCGACAGACAGTGAAAATGGAGAATCTCTATTTTCTGATGACACAGAGAAACCGGATATAAGCACAATGGTTAATCGCTATTTACCACTAAAGGTATATAAATAAGAGCATCCATGTTTTTTTTCGTCAATCAACAACATTTCTCTCTTTCTATTACTAAAAATCAGACTTCTACTTGACTTCCTATTTTATTAATTTACAAAAAGGGTCTACATTTGATTTTCGTTGTACTCCCATTAAAATCGAAAATAAATAACAACTTAATTATTGGAATTTTCATTTAAACAAATAAATTTCTCAATAACAATTATGATCAATCGTTTTTCTTTTTTAATGAAAATTGCCACATTCTCGAAATTCATAACCTCACTTTTTATTTTCAAAAAGAGAAACATTTTACGGAAAATATTTTTTTCTATTTAAAACTTTTTGTATTAAAAATTATAATAGATGTGGGTGAAAATTCGGAAACAATGTTTCAAAATTTTATTTTACTTCAAACAAAAACTTTTATTACTATTATTATTATAACAGGCTTTGAAACAATTCAATTATTTTTAAACATTTTTGGAAAATCTTTCTCAAGAATTCAATTAATTTTCATAAGTAACCAAATTCTTTGCTGAAATTAAAATATTTTTAACTTACTATTTTAATAAAATTATTCAAAAGAATTCAATTTTAAAAAAATGAATAAAATTCGACGCAAATATTCAATTAATATCTACGAATAACATTTCCACAGGAATTCAATTATTTTGAAAAATACAATTTTCAATTTAATTTAAAAAAAATTTTAATGAAATTATTCGTAACAATTCAATTATTTTCCCGCAAATAATAAAAATTTTCACTGGAATTCAATTATTTTAAAAAACTCAATAAAATTCTTTGCAGGAATTAAATTATTTTCGAAAAATTTTAATAAAATACGTTGCAAAAATTCAATTATTTTTAATACAATTTTAATTATTTTATTCGAAATAATTCGTTGCAAGAATTCATTTATTTTCAAAAATAATCAAATTTTTCACAGGCTTTCAATAATAAATTTTTAATACAATTTTAAATGAATTCCTCGAAAAATAAAATCATTTTCAAAAGTTTTATTTTAATTCTTCTTTCGAAGATATTGAATATCAATTATTTATTTTTGTATATAAATAATTCAATTCTTGTAGAACTTTCTAATAAGAATAATTATTGAACAAAAATTGTTTAAGTTATGAATAATTTAATTTCAAAATTAGAGAGAAAATGAATCTTTCGAAAATGTTTAATTATAACTTTTTGAATTTAGTTAAATTCTTGTAAAAATTTAAAAATATTTATTTAAATTTACAGTTAATTGGAAATTTTGTTAAATATAATTAAAATAAATTTTATATTTTTAGAAACCCAATTTGTTTACTTTTCAAAATTATTTTTGAATATAAACAAATTTTTGTAGAATTCGAACTAAAAGTTTGAAAAATAATTAAATTTCATAAAAATTTAGTTATTTTTACGACGACTTTAATTTTTCATCGTAAATTTTAGATTCAAAATGATGGGAAATTACCGCAAACAATTTGTCCCGGTTGCAATATACAATTGGAATCGACAATTCAATTTTTCGATTTGGTTGTTGATGGTCAGAAGAAAATTCGCGATCTTTGGAAACAACAAATTGAACATGAACGAAAGGCGAAACGTGAAATGGAACGTTCAAGACGCGATGAAATTGAATTAGTGCAGGAGGAAATTCAACAAACGGAAATTGTGGAAAATTCGGAAAATAATGATAATCAAATTGTTGAGAGTGTCGAAATTACCGGAGTCGATAATCAGGAAAAGAATCTGGAGAATGATGGAAATAATGATGATGACGATGATAATAATGAGGATGATGACGATAATGAAAATCTCGATCAACAAATTTACATAAAGAGTATAAAAAAATTTAATATTCACCAAATAATAATTATTTCTTTAATTAAAAAAAATATATAGTTAATTAATATATACAAATAATATGATAAATATAATAAATTATCAAAAATAATTTTTATTCAATAATTTTAATTTCTTAATTTTAACTTTAATTTCAAAATTTTAACTTTAACTTCATAATTTTAATTTTACTTTATTAATTTTAACTTTAATTTGATAATTTCAATTTCAATGAAACCATTTAAATTTTTTATTTCAGTTATGCCTGACGGTTCAATGTACGCTTCCGATCACGAAGTACGCCTTCAAATGGAAGGTTTAGATAAACCACGAAGAAAACGAGGGCGACCCCCGAAAATCGAAATTAAGGTATTTAAGGACAAAATTATATTTTAAAATATTCTAAATTCTATAAAGCAGAATTTTTGCCTATAGAAACTTAAAAATTAAGTTTTGTTGTTTAAAACAAATTTCAAATTTTTATTATTTAAAAGACAGATTTTGCGGGAGAAATTTCAAAAGAGATTAAAGTAAATAAAAAACATTGTCAAAGTGTAATTAATAAACAATTTCTTTCTCATTTAACAGACGGAGGTTTTAGAAGAAATTACAGAAGAGACAAGTCAAGGGGAAGAGGAAAAACAAGATGAGGATTTAGAAGAAGAGGACGACGGGACAGGAAGGCGACGTCGAAAGAGAAAAATTCCCGAAAGGTGAAAATTATAGAAACAAAGAAATGATTTTTTATCAATAAAAAAAAATTGAAATTTTTCTTTAGATTCAAAGAAGCCGTTCAGGGCAAGGAACTTGATCGAATTTTCAAGGAGGAGGGCGTCTTTGATGAAGGCGATTACGACCAGGATGAGGATTATTTCGACGAATTCGATGAATTTAAAGCAATAACAACGCCCGATGGAAATGAAATTATTGGCCATTTAGAGACTGAGGAGGGTAAAGATTTAGGGGAATTAGTTGTGATTAATCGAAATCGTGGCCGCGGACGACCGAAGCGGAAAAAAAATAAATACTACTGCAATATTTGCGGAAAAGGATTTCATCAAATTAGCAAATACGCAACACACAAGTAAATTTAATTTCATTCAATTTAAAAAATAATTTCTTTAATTCGAATCTATTTATAATTTATTCATTAGAATTAATAATGTATTTACTTTAATTATAATTTATTCACTATAATTATAATTTTATTTATTATAATTATAATTTATTCACTATAATAATAATTTATTCACTGTCGTAATTTAATTTCTGTTTCCGCAGATCATTACACAAAAATATAAAATACAAATGCGTGGAGTGTGAGAGACAATTTTCGAATGAGGACAATTTTCGTTTACATCAAAAGACAACGTCGCACGTTGGACGCGAGATTCTCGAGCTTGTCAATGAAATTATTAAACCATTGGAAAATGTTGCAAGCACCGAAGCGATCGTCTCAACAAACGAGGAAACAACCGAAATTATTTCCTCCTCATCGAATAAACAGAATATTGAAAATACAATTTTAGCGAATACCGAGGAAATACCGGCGAAAGAAGTATTTCTTGAAACAACAATTGAAGACAATTCACAAGGTGAAAAATCGGATAAAATTATTACATCGCAAGAAGAAAAATCCGAAGTTACGTGCTCGCAATGTTCACAATCGTTTAACGCCGAGGAAGAACGCGAGTCTCACGAGAAAACGCACGATCACGGCGACGATAAAGAATCATCACCGGTAATTATTTTTTATTATATTTATTTATTTAAACACCTGATTAGTTATATAATTAATTTTCTTCTAAAAGTTTTTTTAATTTATTTTCTTATTTTTTTTTATAGAATCCTTAGTTTCCAAAAAGGCTCCTGATTATAATTATTTTTTAATTATTTTACAATTCATTTCATTATTAAGTTGAGATTAAATTATAATTAAGTTAAATTTAACTTGAAAGGGAATTAAAATCGAAGCTTAATTAATTAAGTTAAAATTAAATTATAATTAAGTTAAATTTAGCTTGTAATAAAATTAAAATCGAAGCTTAATTTTAATTAAGTTAAAATTAAGTTATAATCAAGTAAATTAAATATGAATAATTTGTAATTAAATGACTAAAATAAACTAATGGAGAAATTTTTATTTTGAAGAATGGCAAAAATGAAAAGGGATTTCCGTGTGATATTTGTGGGAAAGTATTAAATCATCCGAGTTCAATTTTATATCATCGTGAGGCTGAGCACAATAATGGAAGACGATTTGTATGCAATAAATGTGGCAAGAGTTTTAAGCACAAACAACTTTTGCAAAGGCATCAACTTGTACATTCCGAGGAACGTCCCTATCTTTGTAAACATTGTAATGCAAGTTTCAAGACAAAAGCAAATCTTCTCAATCATCAATCAACGCACACTGGGGAGAAAAAATATTTCTGCGATATTTGTGGACAACAATTTGCCCATAAAACTAGTCTCACACTACATCACAGGTGAATAAATTCTAAATTTATTTTTTAATTTATTAATATTAATAATTTAATAACTAGAAAATGTTATACGCCCAAAGCACGATATTATTATTTTCATAAATTAAAAAAAAAAAATTCTTTACAAAAAGTTAATTATTTACATAAATAATGAGGAATTTCTTTGAATTTTTTGAAAATAATGGAGTTTCTTTTAATAATTTTAATTGAAAATTTTAATAATAATTGAATTTTATGAAGAATTTCTTTTAAGTTGATAAAATATTCGTGTTTTTAATAATTGTACCTACTTAAACATTTGATTATTGAATTTTATTAAAAGTTTAAGAAAATAATTAAATTTTTCTCAGAATTATATTACAATTTTTAGTAATAATTGAATTTTTCAGAAAAATTTCTTTAATTTCTATTCTGGTAATAATTGTAATCTATAATTTTATTACTAACTATTATTGAACTTATTTATAGAAAATTAAATTCTTTTGAACAATTTTAATAGTTTAAGTAAATAATTAAATTTTTTCGAAGAATTTCTTCAAAGTTTTCTTTAATAATTCTAATTGAAAAATTTGATTCAAAAAATATTTTGAATCGTTAGAAACAACAAGAAAAATTTAGTGAAACCTTCACCATTTACGATTTTGATTCAAACGAGAGTGTGTCTAGTTGTGAGACACCACCGGTTGTGAGACATTCAATTTTTTTTAACACGCAATATTAAAAAGCCGATTGGTTTATATAAAAAAACATTTCGTTTTATATGATCCAACTTTTTCGTGAACACCGAAGCGGATATTGTCAACACTTTTGAATGAGAATCGACTAAAAAGCGTTTTTTTCAAATATGTGCAAAGTACTTTTTTTCCAAGTCAATTATAATTCCAATCACCTTTCTATTTAAATCTTGTTTTGATTTTTTATTTCTCGTATTTTTTGACATGTCAATTGGAAGAAACTTAACCGACTCAGAAGAAATCAATTTTAATGCTGCTCTCGTTGAAGCTATTAAATTGTGTTTATTGGAAAATAAAAGCATCCGATCAACAGCCCGTGAACATAACGTTGATAAAAGTACTTTGCAGCGCTACATAAAAAAAGTAAAAGATAATTTCGGAAATGATATGTCATCGGTTGAGGAGAATGAATTTATGGAATTCATCGAATTTTGCTGCAAAAAAATTCCATCAAATATGGTATGTTTTTTTACTCTCTTCTACCGTGTTTTGTATTTTTCTCCATAAAATACTCATTTTTTAAACACTATATTTTTTCCATAAAATACTCATTTCTTTAAACACTCGTTTCTTAATAAATTTTCTTACGACAGGTTTTTTCTCTTAAACAAGAAAAAATTCTTCTCGACTATATCCTGAAGCGCATTAATCATTCTAATGGTCTGAGCGTTAATGATTTGAGGGAATTGGCATTCCAGATAGCAAAAAAACTCAACATCAAATATCCACAAGTTTGGAATAAATCATCAAAAGCCGGACCAAAGTGGTATCATCTTTTTATGAAACGTCATCCGGAACTAAAGCTCAAAAAGGGAATTACTCCATTAACATCCAATATTTGTAGTGATTATGAATATATTGAAGTTGTTCAGCAAAATCCTGCTGCTGCTGTAGTTGCTAATCTCGAGGAAAATAATCAACTGCGAATTGTTGTTGATCCTTTGAATGTCGTTTCTGAAGAAGTGATTATACCTGAAGTAATTGAACAATTAGCATCTCCAGGAGCATCAAATATGACAGACAATAGCTGTTCATCGGTTTCAGATGAAAAAATTGCTATTCTCGAAGATAAAGCGGAGAATAACACAGCAACAGCAACGAAAAGAGCAGCAGCAGAAAAGAAGAAAGCAATACCACCAGCTAAGCGCCCGAAAACAAACATTTCATCGCCATCAGATAATGATGATAGCGATGATGATGATAGCGATTTTTGCATTCTTTGCTCAGAGTTGTTACCAAAAAATTTGACCGCATTTAACTCTGTCAACTGCAACTCATGCCAACGTCCTGTTCATTTAAAATGTGCGAACATGCGCACAAGTTATTTTACTTGCGAACATTGCAACAGCGATTAAGAAAAAAAAAGACTGATAATCTGATTTTAATGTACAAATATTATTATTTAGTATATAATGTAATATATATATATATATTATAAATATTATATTTAACTATTTATCTTTTATCCCAAACATAACGTTTTATGACAAACTTTTTCAATTTTAACAATTTTTTATGTGTCTCACAACTGGACACATTTTTTTAAAACTCGGAAAATTTATCATAAAATTCGCATTTGAATACTACTTTCTTTTAATAAAAGTTGCGTAGGTATTTCAGTTACTTTTCGAACGGTGTATTTTATTAATAATTTCGTCCACCCATTTACTACAATTTATAGGTCGAAAATAAAACCCGTCTCACAACTAGACCCACTCCCCTAACGTTTCTAGCAAAGAAATTCTTTTAAAATTCTTTTAATTTTAACAAAGAAAATAATGAAAGAGTGGAAATAAAAAATTAATCCTTAACTACTACCAATCTCAACCTAAGAAAGGAAACAATTTTTAAAAAATCTTTCAAAAAAGATGAATTGAATTCTTGTGAAGAATTTTTTACATTTTATAAAAATAATTAAATTGTTTTGAAGAATTTTATCAGAATTTTTGAAAATAATTGAATTTCATTAATATTTTTAAAAATAATTGTGTATTCTTTCAAGAAATTTTATTAAAATTGTATTAAAAACAATTAATTTCTTTTCAAGAATTTTATTATTAATTTATAAAAATAATTGTATTCTTTCAAAGAATTTTATCAGATTTTTTGAAAATAATTGAATTTAATTAATATTTTTAAAAATAATTTTATTCTTTCGAGAAATTTTTCTAAAATTAAATTAAAAATAATTGAATTCCTCCGAAGAATTTTAATATTAATGTAAATAATTTAATTCATTTAGGGAATTTTATTAAAATATAGAAAATAATTGGATTCAATCGAAAAATTTTATTAAAACATTTAAAATACTTAATTTTTCTTAAAAATTTTATAGAAACTGTTGAAAATAATTGAATTTTATTAAAATTTTTTTTTAAATAATTGAATTCTTTCAAAGAATTTTATCAGATTTTTTGAAAATAATTGAATTTAATTAACATTTTTAAAAAAATAATTGTATTCTTTCGAGAAATTTTACTAAAATTCAATTAAAAATAATTAAATTCCTCCGAAGAATTTTATTATTAATGAAAATAGTTGAATTCCTTTGAAGAAGGATTGAAGAAGAATTTTATTATTTATGAAAATAATTTAATTCATTCATGGAATTTTATTAAAATATAGAAAATAATTAAATTCTTTCGAAGAATAGATACTATTCAAGATTTTTGACAATCATTGAATTCTTTCGAAAAATTTCTTTAATTTTTTGAATATAATCGATTTTGTTAATAATAAAATAGTAATTAATAATTTTACTATTAAAACATTTTTAAAATTATTGATAGAAAATTAAATTCTTTTCAACAACTTTATTAGAATTTTTGTAAATAATTAGATTCTTTTGAAGAATTTCTTTCTGTTTTTTTTCAAAATAATGTAGTTTTTGAATAATTTTAATTGGAAATTTTTAAAATAATTCAATTAAACAAAGATTTTTTTCAAAATTTTAAAAATAATCCTGTCTTTTAAAAATTATAATTAAATACCTCGTTAAATTAAAGTTTATTAAAATTTTATTGAAAATAATTGAATTCCTGTCAATAATTTTATTATTTCTAAAAATAATTTAATTCTTGCAAGAATTTTACAATTTTTAAGAATAATTGAATTTGTTTCCAAGAATTTATTAGAAGTTTAGAAAATAATTGAATTCTTTCGAAAAATTTTATTAAAAATTGGTAAAAATTTAATTGAATTCTTTCTTGAAATTTTATTAACATTTTATTAAAAATAATTGAATTCCTATAAAGAATTTTACTATTTATAAAAATAATTGAATTTTTTCCTGCGTAGAATTTTACTATTTATAAAAATAATTAAATTGCTTTGAAGAATTTTATCATCATTTTTGAAAATAATGGAATGTTTTGAAAGAATTTTATTAAAAATTATGAAACTAATCGGATTCAATCGAAAACATTTAAGATACTTAATTTTTCTTAGAAATTTTATAAAAACTGTTGAAAATAATTGAATTTTATTTAATATTTTTAAAAATAATTGTATTCTTTCGAGAAATATTATTAAAAATAATTGTATTCTTTCGAGAAATTTTATTAAAATTGTATTAAAAATAATTGATTTTTTTTTTCAAGAATTTTATTATTAATTTATAAAATTAATTGAATTCTTTCAAAGAATTTTATCAGAATTTTTGAAAATTTATATTGAATTTAATTAATATTTTTTAAAAATAATTGCAGATGGCATTCAGGTGATAAACCCTACAAATGTGATGTGTGTAAAAAGAGTTTCTCGCAAAATGGAAATTTACAGGAGCACATGCGAATTCACACGGGCGAAAAACCATATTGCTGTGATTATTGCGGACGTAAATTCACGACGTCGTCACAATTTAAATTACACGTGAAGCGTCATACCGGCGATCGTCCATGGAAATGTGAATTTTGTGAGAAGAGTTTTTTGCACAAAGACACATGGAAGTGTCACGTTCGTCGACACAAGGGAGAACGTCCCTTTCAATGTGCACATTGTAATCGCGCTTTCACGGAACAATGGGCTTTAAAAAAACACCTTCGTCTACACACAGGTAATTCATTTTATTTTTTAAACCAAATAAAAAACACTTCATTAATAATTTAATTTGGAATTAAAATAAATTTCGTTCAATTGCTAAAAAAAGCGCTAAAAAAAGCTAAAAAACTAAAAAGTGTTCAATGTTTAGTTAATTTAATATTTAATTGATTTAATATTCAATTCATTTGATATTAAATTAATAAAATATTGAAGTAATTTAACATTCAATTGATTGAATATTCAAATAGTTTAATATTAAACGAATTAAATATTAAATTAATTAAATATTCAGTAGAATATCAAAAATTACCAAATAATCAAAGTTTAAAAATTAAATGAATCAATTTTACAAAAAAATTTATTTTGTTTCAGGAGAGAAACCATATTCTTGTGAAATATGTGGAAAGGCTTTCGCCGACTGTTCAAATCTCACCAAACACAAAAAAGTAACAAGGATTTTTATTCTTTTTTCTCGAAAATTTAAACAAAAAAATAAAATAAAAATACTATTTTTTTGTTTTCTGTGATTTATTTTAAGAAAAATAATAAAAAAAAAAAAATTTACGTTTTTTATTAGGTTCATAAGGAAATTAACATAACTGATGAAAATGAAATTTCGGAAGGTACGGCTATTGGTGAAGTTTGGGAAATTTTACCAAATCCCCAGGAAGTTAATGAGAATTCAATGCAAGGACGAATCGCCGAAGTGATATCAGCTGACAATATATCTAATGAAGAGGTTCCACAAATTTTTTACGTCTCCTATCAAGAACCAACAAATATCGTTCCTCAATCGAGAATGTTACACATTGGTATGACAAAGATAGAAAAAAAATTTCTTATAATATTAAAGAATCTTAATATCTATATTGATTTATATTTTATTTTTTTATTTTTATATTTTAATTACTTTCGAATTTTTGAGAAATTTTAATTATTCCAATTCTTCTGAAATTTGTTAAATTTTTTAATATATATTTTTAATTAATTATTAAAAATAATGGATTTATAGAAGAATTATAATTAAAAACACTAAAAGAAATTGAATTTTCAAGCAATTACAAATTATTGCATAAATTCAATTATTTTTCAAATTAGTCAAATTCTTCTTAGAAATTCAATTATTTCCAACAATTTTAATAAAATTCATGGCAAAATTCCAATTATTTTCAAAAACTTTTCTCAATTCAATGATTTTTCATAAATCTACTACTTTAATAACATTTTTCAAAAGAATTCAATTATTTCAAAAAAATTTTTAAATTCTACACAAACATTTCATTATTTTCATAAATAATAAAATTCATCTCAGACTTTCAATTCTTTTTAATACAATTTTAATGAAATTCCTCGAAAAATGAAATTATTCTTAAAAATTAAAATTAAGAATATTTTATTAATTAAAATTAATTAAAATTTTATTAAAATTTAAATTTACTAATTAAAATTTTATTAAAATTCATCAAAGAAATTCAATTATTTTAAAAGACATTTTTATAAAATTCGTCTTGAGAATTCAATTATTTTTAAAAGTAAGATAATTCTTCGCAGAAATTTAATTATGTTCAACAATTTACAAAAATTCTCGCCAAAATTTCAATAATCTTTATAAAATTTTCTCCGAAATTCAAATCTTATTTTCAAAAACTTTAATAAAATTCTTGGCAAAATTTCAATTATTTTCAAAAACTATTATAAAAAAAAAGTTTCAAAAACTCTTTTCTTTTTGGAGAAATTCAATTATTTTTAATCAAATTTTAATCAAATTTCCGAAAAATAAATTTATTCGTAAAAATTTTATTAAAATTTGTCAAGAGAATTCAATTATTTAAAAATTTGTTGATAAAAGTCTTTATAAAAATTCAATTTTTAGAAACATTCAATTATTTAATAAAATATTTATTCTTGTATTTAAATACATGAATTCTCGTTGATTTTTCTAGTAAATATTGATTTAAAAATGAATTTCAGTTAAAATTTTAGATTATTATTGAATATTGAAAGCAATATAGCGTAAATTTTTAGAAATAATTAAATTTAAAAAATGTTTCAAATTAAAATCTTTTAGAAAATTTGAACTTTTCATACTTTTAATTAACAATTCTGTAGAATTTATTTTTTTTTAAAGATTAATTGAATTTTTCTTTAATTCTTCAAGTTTTTATTTTCTAATATATATATTTTATTAAAGAATGTCAGAATAATTAAAATTACGTAAAAATTAATATTGAAAAGTAATTGATTATTTACGAAGAATTTTATCATTTTATAGAAAATAATTGAATTCTTGCGGAGAATTTTATCAATATTGAAAATAATTGAATTCTTGCGAAGAATTTTATCAATTTTAAAAATAATTGAATTATTTCGAAGAATTTTATTCAAATTTTTTGAGAATAATTGAATTCCTGCAAATAATTTTATTATCTATAAAAATAATTAAATTCTTGACAAGATTTTTAAGGAAATTTCTAGAATTAATTTTTCTCAAAAAGTAATGGAATTTTGTTTTTTAATTATTTAAAGTTTTTAATTTATAATTTATTTGTTTTCAGTCGATTCTGGAATGGTGGAACTTAAGGGCGAATTAGCAACAGTCGGTGGTCAAACATTGCGTGCAATTCATATACAAAATGATGAGGCGGTAACAGATGAAGCTCTAATTCAAAATTCAGAATTAGAGGAAAAAATAGAAGAACAAATTGCCGAATCTGATTTACAAGTTCAGGTATAATTAAAAAAAAAGGAAAAGAAAAATTCCCTTTTCTTTTTCTTTTCATTAACAAAAATACTTTATAATTTACATATATATTAAAAATTTTGAAAGTAAATTAGAATAATTTTTAAAATTGTTTTCTTTTTCAGATAACCGACGACGAAGGTAATTTAATTCCCCTCTCATTGCAAGATGCACGACAATTACTTTCCGAGGGTCAAATAATAAGTCAATTGAGCGATGGACAAATTGTTAAAGTACATTCGGGTATTGGTCCACAGCATTTTTTTGCTCAATTAGGTGTCAATGATAATAATCAAGAAGTAAATTCAAATCCCACAATTATCGTTAAAAAACAAAAAGCAACGTCTACTTCGCGAAATTCCGAGAAAGTAACGGAGAAAAATACGTCTAAAGTTTAAAAAGAAGAAGAAATAAAAAAGAAAAGAAAAATGTAATTTAATTTATTCATTGATGTCATAATTTGTATTATTATAATTGCGTTTATTAATATATATTGAGTATATTAATATTATAGAAATAATTACGTTACAATTATGTTACTTTAAGGTGTAAAATATTTTTTTTGTTTCAAAATACACATTGATTAGGATCTTTCTAAGAATATTATCGTCTTTTATTTACACCTTCTCGGTGTATTTTTCGTTCTGTACGGACTAGAAATTCGTTAAATTTTCAAAATTCGTGTATTTTGGTTTATTATTTATTCTATTTTTCTTTACTATTTTTACTTTTTTCATTTACTTTGCTATTTATTTTATTTACTCTCTATTATCTTTACATTTCATTTTTTATTTTGCTATTGTTTTATTTTTATTTATTTTCATTTATTTCTAATTTATATCCCTATTGAATGATTAAATTTCTGATTTTCCGAAATATTTTAATTTAGAGATAAAATTCGTTAAATAATTTAAAAAAAGGATTTGCAAATATTTTTTAAATAAATTGAATTTTATTATCGATGAAATTTGACCTTGATCATCTTTGCGCTTGCGTAGACAATAAATAATCTATCTTTACATACAAATCCACCTATTTATTCTTCTTTGAAATAACTGATTCATAGAAATATTGATAAGATTGAGCTTTTGCGTTTCAAGCAGAAAACCAAAAATTGCAAAGTGAAATTATTCCATTAGAGTTACTAATGGGTAAGTAATCATGTTTAATACTTTGGGTTGCCACAGGTCAGGGAAATCAGAGAAAAGTCAGGGATTTTTATTAAAAGTATCGGAAAAAATTTAATTTTTAGAATTCGTAAGAAAATTCTGAATTTTGGTGTTTTTTTTTTGTTTCCCTCATAAACTATGAAATTACCGCAAATTCTAATGCAAAACCTTCAATTTTTTCTATTTCTGACAATAATTTCTTTACAAATAAATTCATTCTTGAAGAACTATCCTAAAATTATTATTTAGAAATTACTTAATGAATAACTTAACTTAAATAATTATTTTTTATTATAAAAATTTATTTTTTTATTTTTATTTATTTACTTTAATATTTCAAAATTAATTGAATTTTAAAAGAGTTACGTTTACAATTTTCATAAATAGATAAACTTCAAAAGGTTTCAATTTGAAATTTTAGAAAGTTTCAATTTTGAGTGAATTTAATTAGAAATTTTAAAAAACTTAAATTTTTGAAAAATTTCAATAATTAAAATTCTTCTGAAATTAGTTACATTTTTTTAATACATTTATTGAATTATTAAAAAGAATTTAAATTTTAAAAATAAATTGAAAAAATAATTTAGTTATAGAAACACTAAAAAAAAATTGAAGGTATTAACAAATTGAATTTTGGAGAATTTACAAATGTTTGCAGAATTTCAATTATTTTCAAAAGTATAGTAAAATTCTTCGCAAAAATTCAATTATGTTCAAAAAGTTTTAAAAATTCTTGTCAAAATTTTAATTATCTTTATAAATAATAAAATTCTTCTGCAAAATTCAATTATTTAAAAAAATTTTTAATTAAAATCTTGACAAAATTCAATTATTTTAAAAAATTTTCCTCAATTCAATGATTGTCAATATCTTCTACTTTAATAAAATTTTCAAAAAGAATTCAGTTGTTTAAAAAAAATTTTTAAATAAAAATCTACGGAAACATTTAATTATTTTCACAAATAATAAAAATATCACAGGAATTCAATTATTATTTACGAAATTTTCTAATGAATTTCTTTGCAATAATTCCATTATTTTCATAAATAATATTATTTTTACGCCGAAATTCAATTATTTTCAAAAATTTAAATATAATTCTTGTCAAAATTTGAATTATTTAAAAAAAAAATTTCTCAATTCACTGTTTTTCAATATCTACTAAGTTAATAAATTTTTGAAAAGAATTCAATTATTTTCAAAAAATTTTGTAAAAATTCTACGCAAAATAATTGAATAATTATTTTCATTAATAATACAAAATTTCATAAAAAATTCAATTATTTAACTAAATTTTAATTTTTCACAATAATTCAATTATTTTCATAAATATTAAAAATTCTCTTCAGGAATTCAATTATTTTCATAAATAATAAAAATGCTTTAAGGAATTCAATTATTTTCATAATTATAATAAAAATCATAGCAGAAATTCAATTATTTTTAAAACTATTTTAATCAAATTCCTCAAAAAATGTAATTATGCTTAAAAATTTTATAAAAATTCGTCAAAATCAAAAGAATTCAATTATTTAAAAATTTGCTTATAAAATTCTTTGTAAAAATTCAATTTTAAGAAATATTCATTGAATTCCCGTAGAATTTTAATTTAAAAATTAATTTAATAATGAATTTCAGTTAAAATGTTAGATAATTGAATATTAAACAGCATTATAGTGTGGATTTTTTTACATTTTAAAAAGCAATAATCTCCCTTTAATTTGCGACCAAGAAACAAAGAATAGGTCAAAAATTATTCGAGTTATGAATTTTTTTCCGATTTTTTTCAATTTTCGTTTTCGGATACGGGCGGGTGGGACCGCTGGCTAATAAAAATTTTTTTAAAAAATTCTTATTGGTCCAATGAAAAGAAGCATTAATCCCTCATTAATTTGCGACCAAGAAACAAAGAATTAATCAAAAATTATTCGAGTTATAAAATTTATTTCCGATTTTTTTCCAATTTTCGTTTTTCTGATACGGGCGGGTGGGACCGCTGGCTATTAAAAGTTAAAAAAAAAACTTTTTGGTCCAATGCAAAGTAGCATTAATGCTTTTTTAATTTGCGATCAAGAAACCAAGAATTGGTCAAAAATTATTCGAGTTATGAATTTTTTTCGATTTTTTTTCCAATTTTCGTTTTTCTGATACGGGCGGGTGAGGACGCTGGCTATCAAAAATTTATTTAAAAAACTTTTAATTGTCAAGTTCTAAGGAGCATTAATCCCTCTTTCATTTGTGACCAAGAAACAAAGAATTGGTCAAAAATTATTCAAATTATGAATTTTTTTCCGATTTTTTTCCAATTTTCATTTTTTTGATACAGGCGGGTGGGACCGCTGGCTATCAAAAATTAATTTAAAAAACTTTTAATTGTCACGTTTTAAAGCGCATTAAACCCTCTTTAATTTGCGACCAACAAACAAAGAATTGGTTAAAAATTATTCGAGTTATGAATTTTTTTCGATTTTTTTTCCAATTTTCGTTTTTCTGATACGGGCGGGTGGGACTGCTGGCTATCAAAAATTGATTTAAAAAACTTTTAATTGTCACGTTTTAAAGAGCATTAATCTCTCTTTAATTTGCGACCAAGAAACAAAGAATTTGTCAAAAATTATTCGAGTTATGAATTTTTTTCCGATTTTTTTCCAATTTTCGTTTTTCTGATACGGGCGGGTGGGGACGCTGGCTATCAAAAATTTATTTAAAAAACTTTTAATTGTCAAGTTCTAAGGAGCATTAATCCCTCTTTCATTTGTGACCAAGAAACAAAGAATTGGTCAAAAATTATTCAAATTATGAATTTTTTTCCGATTTTTTTCCAATTTTCGTTTTTCTGATACGGGCGGGTGGGGACGCTGGCTATCAAAAATTTATTTAAAAAACTTTTAATTGTCAAGTTCTAAGGAGCATTAATCCCTCTTTAATTTGCGACCAAGAAACAAAGAATTTGTCAAAAATTATTCGAGTTATGAATTTTTTTCGATTTTTTTTCCAATTTTCGTTTTTCTGATACGGGCGGGTGGGGACGCTGGCTATTAAAAATTTAAAAAAAAAATTCTTATTGGTCCAATGCAAAGAAGCATTAATCCCTCTTTAATTTGCGACCAAAAAACAAAGAATTGGTCAAAAATTATTCGAGTTATGAATTTTTTTCCGATTTTTTTCCAATTTTCGTTTTTCTGATACGGGCGGGTGGGGACGCTGGCTATCAAAAATTAATTTAAAAAACTTTTAATTGTCACGTTTTAAAGAGCATTAATCCCTCTTTAATTTGCGACCAAGAAACAAAGAATTTGTCAAAAATTATTCGAGTTATGAATTTTTTTCCGATTTTTTTCCAATTTTCGTTTTTCTGATACGGGCGGGTGAGGACGCTGGCTATCAAAAATTTATTTAAAAAACTTTTAATTGTCAAGTTTTAAGGAGCATTAATCCCTCTTTAATGTGCGACCAAGAAACAAAGAATTGGTCAAAAATTATTCGAGTTATGAATTTTTTTCCGATTTTTTTAAAATTTTCGTTTTTCTGATACGGGCGGGTGGGACCGCTGGCTATTAAAAATTTTTAAAAAAAATTCCTATTGGTCCAATGCAAAGTAGCATTAATCCTTCTTTAATTTGCTATCAAGAAACAAAGAATTGGGCAAAAATTATTCGAGTTATGAATTTTTTTCCGATTTTTTTTCCAATTTTCGTTTTTCTGATACTGGCGGGTGGGACCGCTGGCTATCAAAAATTGATTTAAAAAACTTTTAATTGTCACGTTTTAAAGAGCATTAATCTCTCTTTAATTTGCGACCAAGAAACAAAGAATTTGTCAAAAATTATTCGAGTTATGAATTTTTTTCGATTTTTTTTCCAATTTTCGTTTTTCTGATACGGGCGGGTGGGACCGCTGGCTATTAAAAATTTAAAAAAAAAATTCTTATTGGTCCAATGCAAAGTAGCATTAAACCCTCTTTAATTTGCGACCAAGAAACAAAGAATTTGTCAAAAATTATTCGAGTTATGAATTTTTTTCGATTTTTTTTCCAATTTTCGTTTTTCTGATACAGGCGGGTGGGACCGCTGGCTATCAAAAATTAATTTAAAAAACTTTTAATTGTCACGTTTTAAAGCGCATTAAACCCTCTTTAATTTGCGACCAAGAAACAAAGAATTGGTCAAAAATTATTCGAGTTATGAATTTTTTTCCGATTTTTTTCCAATTTTCGTTTTTCTGATACGGGCGGGTGGGGACGCTGGCTATCAAAAATTTTTTAAAAAAATTCTTATTGGTCCAATGAAAAAAGCATTAATCCTTCTTCAATTTGCGACCAAGAAACAAAGAATTGGTCAAAAATTATTCGAGTTTGAATTTTTTTCCGATTTTTTTTTTCATTTTTCGTTTTTCTGATACGGGCGGGTGGGACCGCTGGCTATTAAAAATTGATTTAAAAAACTTTTAATTGTCACGTTTAAAAGAGCATTTATCCCTCTTTAATTTGCGACCAAGAAACAAAGAATTGGTCAATAATTATTCGAGTTAGGAATTTTTTTCCGATTTTTTTCCAATTTTCGTTTTTCTGATACGGGCGGGTGGGACCGCTGGCTATTAAAAATTTATTTAAAAAACTTTTAATTGTCAAGTTCTAAGGAGCATTAATCCCTCTTTCATTTGTGACCAAGAAACAAAGAATTGGTCAAAAATTATTCAAATTATGAATTTTTTTCCGATTTTTTTCCAATTTTCGTTTTTCTGATACGGGCGGGTGGGGACGCTGGCTATCAAAAATTTATTTAAAAAACTTTTAATTGTCAAGTTCTAAGCAGCATTAATCCCTCTTTCATTTGTGACCAAGAAACAAAGAATTGGTCAAAAATTATTCAAATTATGAATTTTTTTCGATTTTTTTTCCAATTTTCGTTTTTCTGATACGGGCGGGTGGGGACGCTGGCTATCAAAAATTTTTTAAAAAAATTCTTATTGGTCCAATGAAAAGAAGCATTAAACCCTCTTTAATTTGCGACCAAGAAACAAAGAATTGGTCAAAAATTATTCGAGTTATGAATTTTTTTCGATTTTTTTTCCAATTTTCGTTTTTCTGATACGGGCGGGTGGGGACGCTGGCTATTAAAAATTTTTAAAAAAAAATCCTATTGGTCCAATGCAAAGTAGCATTAATCCTTCTTTAATTTGCTATCAAGAAACAAAGAATTGGGCAAAAATTATTCGAGTTATGAATTTTTTTCCGATTTTTTTTCCAATTTTCGTTTTTCTGATACTGGCGGGTGGGACCGCTGGCTATCAAAAATTGATTTAAAAAACTTTTAATTGTCACGTTTTAAAGAGCATTAATCTTTCTTTAATTTGCGACCAAGAAACAAAGAATTGGTCAAAAAGTATTCGTGTTATGAATTTTTTTCCGATTTTTTTCCAATTTTCGTTTTTCTGATACGGGCGGGTGGGGACGCTGGCTATCAAAAATTAATTTAAAAAACTTTTAATTGTCACGTTTTGAAGAGCCTTAATCCCTTTTTAATTTGCGACCAAGAAACAAAGAATTGGTCAAAAATTATTCGAGTTATGAATTTTTTTCGATTTTTTATCCAATTTTCGTTTTTCTGATACGGGCGGGTGGGACCGCTGGCTATTAAAAATTTAAAAAAAAAATTCTTATTGGTCGAATGAAAAAAAGCATTAATCCCTCTTTAATTTGTGACCAAGAAACAAAGAATTGGTCAAAAATTATTCAAATTATGAATTTTTTTCCAATTTTCGTTTTTCTGATACGGGCGGGTGAGGACGCTGGCTATCAAAAATTTATTTAAAAAACTTTTAATTGTCACGTTTTAAAGAGCATTAATCCCTCTTTAATTTGCGACCAAGAAACAAAGAATTGGTCAAAAATTATTCGAGTTATGAATTTTTTTCCGATTTTTTTCCAATTTTCGTTTTTCTGATACGGGCGGGTGGGACCGCTGGCTATTAAAAGTTAAAAAAAAAACTTTTTGGTCCAATGCAAAGTAGCATTAATGCTTTTTTAATTTGCGATCAAGAAACCAAGAATTGGTCAAAAATTATTCGAGTTATGAATTTTTTTCGATTTTTTTCCAATTTTCGTTTTTCTGATACGGGCGGGTGAGGACGCTGGCTATCAAAAATTTATTTAAAAAACTTTTAATTGTCAAGTTTTAAGGAGCATTAATGCCTCTTTAATTTCCTTTTTATTTCTTGGTCACAAATGAAAGGGGGATTATTGCTTTTTAAAATGTGACTATTGCAATTTTTTTCTATAAACTGTAATAGCTAGCGTCAGGGTTGGGAACGTAAACTACCTTAGGTAATCTACATAGTTGTTTACATGTAGATTACTTGGTAATTTACGTCAAGAGTTTTCTACGTAATTTACATTAATGTATTTTGTCACGTGATATAACCTGAAAAGCAAACTTTTCAAGAGGTTATGTTATTATGTTTTCTAGTAGTAGTAGTAGTAGTAGAATTTAACATTGGCACTATACTAGCGTTGCGCTGTGTATATTCGGCTATGACCAGGTATATGAGTGCGGAGCTTAATGTTGAATCTGTGAACAAAAGAACGGTGGCACGAAATGTTTTCTAGTCTTTTAATGGCCGCCATCTTGAAAATGTAAATTACATGGGTTTTCTACATTGTCTACGTAAATTACTTATTCTACGTAATATACATCAGAAACCAAAAATGACGCGTCATTTTCCAACCCTGGCTAGCGTACGCTGTTTTTGCATTGATTGAACCGTATAGGGCCACCGCGCTACTATGTGTGTCGGCGCCTATGGATTCTTCTGATGGCTGGCGGCCGGCGGATCGCTTGTTTCACCGAGCCACTTTTAACTGACAATTCTGAAGAATTAATTTTTTTTTTTTTTTGAAAAAAGTTTAATGGAATGTTTTGTGAAATCATTTCAAGTTTTTATTGTCTAATATATATTCAATTGAACAATTTCCAAATACTCGAAATTTCAGGTAAAATTAAATTGTAAACAAATGGATTTGAAAATTTTTAAAGAACTTTTTCAAAAATTATTTAAAAATAATTGATTTAAAGAAGAAGTTTAGTAAAAAATTCTTGAAAATAATAATTGAATTGAAATGATGAAAATAATTTTGAAGAATTTATAGTAACAATATTCTTATAAATAAATAAAAAGTAATTATTATATCACTTGATCATCTTGAATTATTATAAGTTGTTGAATTTCAAAAAGGTTTGAATTTGAATTTGAAAAATTTTAATTCCTACGGAAAAATAATAACGATTGAATATTTATATAAAAAAAGAAGTTATTGATGTTTTCAAATAATTTTACTTTTGAAGAAATTTGTAAAAAAAAGTATTAAAACATTTTTTTAGTATCTAATAATTTTTAGAGTGAATCAGAATATTCTTTTTCATAACGCGGTGCTAAAAAGGGCACTTTTTTGCACCTTGTTATGAAAAATATCGTTCGTAACTAGTGCTAGCAGTTGCCAATTTTTGAATGAGCACTTTTATATTTTTTAGAAGCAATCCTGTTTAAAATTGTTTAATTTATATATTTTTTTCTTTAGAAGGTAACAATTTGATGTTATGTTTGTAATTTTTAAAATGAAAATACACAAAGCCGATCAATTCTGAATATAAACCATTGATCCTTAAGTTTTTATTACCGAACATATTTAATAAAAACCGATTTCAATTTTATATGTAATCAAACAGAAATTTACAATTAAGGTAAATATAATGCAAACATAGCCTGAAAATATTCTTAGGCACCTTTCTTCGAAGATCATCTCATATAATTATTGTCTCTAGATTTTTGAACTAAAAGAATTTTCTCAATTTCAGAGAACGATTAAAATTTACAATGTCCGATAGATTTATAAATCAATACGAATGGAAGGAGAGGGCGTTAAATTTCCAAACCGATTTAGCAAGTGGTCCACTCGCATCGGCAATGTGGGATAGATTTTACATCGACAATGCGACAAATAAAGAGCATCTTCATAATAAAATCAAAATCGCTCTATTTGGAAATACAGAAAACATCTCGAAGGAACAAAAAGAATTAATGACTCTAATACAAGAGAAATTTATCGATAAAAGTTGTTACGGAAACACTGTTCAACTAGCAATTGTCTACGTGTCAATATTATTCGAAAGCAAAGCCGAATATATTTTTCCAATTTTTCGCATACGAACAAATACGGAAAATCTTTCCGATTTCTGTATTATCGATCATTTGGGAAGAGTGTATAGTGATCTCTCCAGTTATAGGGAGACGAATACTTGGGATATGTCCTATTTAGTGCTTCCAAAAAACGGAATTTACAATTTAGTTGAAGGAAAGTGTGATATCGAATTCTGGAATCAATCAGAACGGGGTTTACTTTTATCAGTCGCTGATCAAACGGCGACAACTGTTGGAATTGGCAGTACGGTTGGAATGGTAGCAGGATTGGGTTTGTCATTGTTTCCGCTAACAATGCCCGTTGGGGTTGCTGTCCTATCAACAGCAGGTTCATTCGGAGCTGCTAGTGGAGTTTACGGAGCAGGACGTGCAATCCACACTCTCCAGGATCGTAAAAATCACGAATTGTCCATTAGCTTTTTCGACAAGGAAGCCCGAGGTTGTTGGATATCGATAGCATCCTCAAGTGTCTCGTTCATATCAATGGGAGCACAGGAATTAATTGCTCCAAAATTAATCCAAAGCGCACAATTAGGACACAAATGTTCTTTGGTAATGACAGCGACCTACACAACAATCTCCGTAGCATCTCTAAGTGTGAACGCTGTCGGTTTCCTAAATCTAATTTACGACGTCGCGACAAAGGATAAAGTCACAAAACAAGATATTTTGAATCTAATGACAACGACATTTTTCTTCTTCCACGCGGCTATGAATTTTCAAACCGCCAGCAGTGTCATCAAACGTGCCCAACAAATGGAATTGTCCAAACTCAAGGAACCGTTAACACCCGAGCAGCAGGAGATTTTTGACTCCCTTCGCGAGGCTCATTGGGAGAATGTCGAAATCGGCGAGATTGATAAACAAGAAGGCGATCGAAAGTACATTCGCGAACTAAAGAACATCGAGAATATCGAACAATTCTTTCAGCAATTCAATCTGACAAGTGATGGCCAACTAAGAATCAATGGCGAGTTAACGATCCACCAACGAGCGTTCATACAAATCCCCGAACAGGAACGATTAACAATTCTCGAGAATTTGTCCAAGTTGAACAAAAATCAAATTACACTCGACGAATTTCGTTCGCGAACCGAAACTACAAGACGAACCTATCTAATAACCCTCGACAGAGAACGAACCGATTTCAAAGCCCAAATAACCAGTGCCTTTGGCGAGAACTTCGAGAACATTGAACTAAACGGTAGGAAGATATTCCTCAACATAAAAGCCCACGAAATCGATCGTCTCCATCAAGTGACCAAACATTCCCTAAACAACGATCCCGATTTCATCCTCCTAGGCAAGGAATTCTCCTCTGAGATGAATGCCCAAAATATCACCGAATTTTGCGCAACCTCCGAATACGCAGTAAGACAAGTACAACGTGAAGTGAGCAATCGCATCAAACAAAATCCAAATCCATCCCGTCCTTCTGGAATAAAAGCAAAAGATTACTACAAATCGCAAATAATTCACGAGTTAAAAGACAATAATTATCAACAACTTAAAGAATCGTTCGAAAATTTGAAAAACGACTGTGACGCAATTAATGGAAAGATGTTTAATAGTTTTGGAAATTCGTACGCGGCTGCTAATCATTATGACAAACATCAAGTACTACCGGCTGTCGATGGGAAAAATGCGCTAACGCCAAATCAATATTTTGAAATTGCCAACGATATGGTGTCGCAGAATTTCTGTGAAATTGAATGGACACAGGATGGTTCGAGTTTGAAGTGTACATTCAAGAATGATCAATTATTGGCTATTAAATTTGAAAATGTCACACAAGGAGAAAGTGTTATTGCAACGCTAATGGATACCAAGAAGAATACTCCAATTGCAAAGAAATATTGTTACTATCCGAAAAATTCAATTGGAGCATACTATGTCGATTTTCATGATGTTCCTGGGTTTAGTGAATAAAATTGAAAATACGAAGTTTATTAATTTGCCAAAAGTATTTTTTTGTACATTCAATATATTTTCAAGTCAGTAATTTTATACCTACTAATTTTATTTTATTCCTTAAGGGAATTAAATAATTGAAGTTCTCTGAATAATAAGAATAATTATTTAATTAAGAATTAAGGGAATTTTGAAGTTCTCTGAATAATAGGAATAATTATTTCAACAAGAATAAAGTAAAATCGTGAATTTTGAAATTTAATTTTGAAGAAGTTACAAATGAATGCAGAAATTTAATTTTTTTTCAAAAAGTAATAAAATTCTTATTTCAAAATTCAATATTATGTTAAACATTTTTTTAAATTCTTGTCAAAATTTTAATTATCTTTACAAATAATAAAATTCTTTGTAGAAATTTAATTAATTTCAATATTATAATTTATCAAAATTCAATTATTTTCAATATCTACTATTTTAATAAAATTTTCCAAAAGAATTCAATTATTTAAAAAAAAATTAATAAAATTCTAAGCAAACATTTAATTATTTTCATAAATAATAAAAATTTCATAGGAATTTAACTATTTACAATTTTTTTCGCAATATTCAATTATTTTCATATATTTAAAAATTATTTAAAAACTAGCTGTCGTACCCGTCTTCGACGGGTTTTAGTTTCTACCAATACATTTAAGTTTCTACCAATCTGGAAAATCAGGAAATAGCTAGGGAATTTAATTTGACCGGAAAAAAATAATAATTAGTTACCATTATAGCTATTTTAGTAGGAAAATATTACTATTTGAATCAGTGATTGACTTTTTGTTATCAAATTAGTTATTTTAACCAATTCAAATGCAGAGAACAATATTTATCAATTTGTAGTACTTTAATTAATGTATTAAAAAAATTAAATTTTCCATACAGTTTTTGGAGTTATAGTAGAGTCTAATTGGAACTAATTGTATCGCAAGTAGACCCTACGTTACGACTGCTAAAACCTAACATAAGACCTAAATTTTAGGCTGAAAGTAGGGCTTAAATTTTGACTCGGGTCTGTTTTCATAAATATTATACATCAATAAAAATTGAAGTAAAAAGCAATTTTTTAAAAGCGAATTAATATAATGAAACTTTTTCTTAATTTGATAGGAAAATTCCCGGTTCGGCATATTCCCAGCTTTTTACAGTTTTTCCCGTTTGGTAGATACCCAGTTAAATGTATTAGTATAAACAGAAAACTGTACGACAGCAAGTAATACAATCTATATTTATATGAACTTAAGAAACAGTATTTTCATAAAATAAGTAAATTTTTATAGCCATTTGTAGATTTATTTATGGATAAAATCAAGTAAATTTAAATTTGACAAAAAAGAGATAAACCGTGAAAAGTTTGGACAAAGCAGGGAATTTTGTTAAACAAAAATAGACACCGTGTTAACTTTTGTCTTTACATTGCTCAAAACATCTCTTAAAGTTAAATCTAGAGTTAAAATGAAAAAACGTTTTAACATGTAAGTTTTTGCCTAGTGGCATAATATGCTTGTATTGTATCACAGGTGACTTACAATTCTTGACATCCTGCGAAATCATTTTAATCATAAAAAATTTCCATTTTCAATATTTCTGAACTTCTTGAAAATATTAGATTGATTTGATAAATAATTTTGAATTGCACTATTTTGACATCAAAATATTAATCAGAGACTCCAAAAATACTACTGAATTATACTTCATATAGTAATTAGTATCGATTTTTTGATATATTGAAAATTTTTTTATATTTCTTGTAGGATAGTATTTTTTGCAAAATTATGATAAAATCTGACTAAATAACATATAATATTCATTTTTAGAAAGTTTAAAAGCTATCCATTAAAAATTGTGAAATTTGGAAATTTTCCATTTTTCAAGTTTTTGAAAATATTTTTATATTTACATCTTAGTTGTAGAATAGTATTTTTTGAAAAATTATGCTAAAATGTGACCAAATAACATGTAATACTCAAATATAGAAAGTTTAAAAGCAATCCATAAAAAAATGTAAAATTTTGAAATTTTCGATTTTTTGAAAACATTTTTATACTTACATATTAGTTATAGGACTTTATTTTTTGCAAAGTTATGCTATAATGTGACTAAATAACATATAATACTCAAGTATATAAACTTCAAAAGCAATCCATGAAAAATAAAAAATTTTGAAATTTTCGATTTTTTGAATTTTTTGAAAAAATTGAATATCTCCCGTTCTAATTAATATTTTTTAAATCTGTAAATTTATAAACCTTCCTTGGGTCAATACCTAATAACCTACCAAGTTGGACTTAAATCGATTCACATGTTTTTGTGTGATTGGGGTACAAAGTTTTTGTGACAGACAAACATACATACATACATACATACATACATACATACATACATACATACATACATACATTAAATTTTTTAAGAACATTTTTGGAATCTCTGATGTCCATAATAACTAATCATGTTAACATTTTGAAGTTTTAAGCAATGTACAGACAGACATCTGATTTTATTAATAAGGATTTTAAAGCAATTCTTCGAAAGAAATCAAATGTCTTGATAAATATCAAAATTCTTCTTTGAAATTCAATTATTTTCAGAAATTTAATAAAATTCTTTGTAAATTCAATTATGACGAAAATTTAAAAAAAAAATCGAAAATAATTGAATTTCTACGAAGAATTTTTTATTTCTCAAAAAAATAAAAAATCTTTCGAAAAAAAATTTCGAAAATAATTGAATTTCTACGAAGAATTTTTATTTTTCAAAAAAATAAAAAATCTTTCGAAAAAACATTTCGAAAATAATTGAATTTCTACGAAGAATTTTTATTTCTTAAAGAAATAAAAATTCTTCGTAGAAATTCAATTATTTTTGAAATTTTTTTTTAAATTCTCGTCAAGATTACAATTATCTTTATAAATTGCAAAATTTTTCGCCGAAATTCAATTATTTTCGAAATTTTTTTTTAAATTCTTGTCAAGATTTCAATTATCTTTATAAATTGCAAAATTTTTCGCCTAAATTAAATGATTTTCAAAAATTTTAATATTCTTTTTATTGATTCAATTATTTTCATAAATAATAAAACTTATCATAGAATTTCAATTATTTTTAATACAATTTTAATCGAATTCCTCGAAAAATTGTAATTATTCTTGAACATTTTTTTTAAATTCATCGAAAAGATTCGAAATCGAAATCGAAATCATCGAAATTTCTTTATTGGAATTGAATTTTAAAAATATTCAATTATTCAATAAATGATTTATTTTTGTATTTAAAGAATTGAATTCCCGTTGAATTTTCTAATAAAAATTAATTGAAAAACGAATTTCAGTTAACAATTTAGATAATAATTGAATATTAAAAGCATTATAGCATAAATTTTTAAAAAAATTGAATTTTGAAAAGGTTTCAAATTAAAATCTCTAAAATTTGAATTTTTCATACTTTTAACTGGCAATTCTGTAGAATTAATTTTTTTTGTAAAAGTTTAATTGAATTTTTTTGAAATTATTTCAAGTTTTTATTTTCTAAATATTTAATTTATTTATTTACTTATTATTAATTGAAGAATTTCCGAATAATCGAAATTTTTCGTAAAATTGAATTATAAACAAATGGATTTAAAAATTCGCAAAGAACTTTTGCAAAAATTATTAAAAGTAATTGATAATTGAATTCTTTCGAAGAATTTTCATAAAATTTTTGAAAATAATTACATTTTTCGAAGATATTACTTAAAATTGTATTAAAAATAATTGAAATCCTGCATGAAGCATTTTATTAATTAGGAGAATAATTGAATTCTTGCAACGAATTTTTATTACATTTTTTTAAATAATTGAAATCCTGTGAAGAATTTTATTAATTAGAAGAATAATTGAATTCTCGCAACGAATTTTTATTAGATTTTTTTAAATAATTGAAATCATGTAAAGAATTTTATTTATGAAAATAATTGAATCTTTGCTAATAATTTTATTAAAACTTTGTAAATAATTTAATTTTTTGTTGAAAAATTTTATCGAAATTTCAATTATTATAAAACATGAAGTTTATGAAGTTCTCTGAGTAATAAGAATAATTTTACTTTTTTTGATTAATTAATTAATTAGTTCTTTTGATTATTTAATTAATTAATTAGTAATAAACTAGTTTTCGAAGTTCTCTAAATAATAAAAATATATTTTACAGTGATTTTACACTTACAAAATATTATTTTTATCAATTAACCCTTTTTTTAAAGTTTACTTTAATTTTGGTCCAAATCCATATTTTTGTTGAAATATTTAGAGAAACAAATTAAATTTGAACTATTTTTTAGTAGAATAAGTGTAAATATTGTAATATTTATCCGTTAAAAATTGCATTTTTTTAAAAAATTAAAATTTTCTATAAGGAGAAAAAATATAATTACCCAACATAACCTAGAAATTCTCCTATACTCGATTTTTATATATAGATGAATCAGATTTTGACAATTTTATACGTATTATAGATTATTAATTTAATTAATAATAAAAACTATAATTGAAATAATGAAATGAAATTATTTTCTAACCTCTAAAGTGTATAATCTAATTGCGTCCTCTAAGGTAAACAATTTATTTCTCCATGTTCCAATTGTATTTTTATTCATTTTCGATTGACATAATACTCTTTTCCTTAACTTTACATTATTTGGATTAAAACTGTCTGTACTTTTATTCCTATACTTTGTTTAGAAAATCACCGGTATTCTTGTTTTGTTCACTTTTTTTCCTTTTTTTCAATGATGTAAATACCATGAAGTTAGCCACTAGACAACATGCACAACGTCAGGGTTGGGTAGCTAACACAAATATCTCAGGGATGGGCATAAACATTTTTTTAAAGGGACTTTCAACTACAGTAGCAGACGACATATTTATCAGGTGGAATGAGAGAAGCAGTTGTTTTTTTTTGTATTCTAATAATAAAAATCCTCTTTTTTTGTATTATTATGACTGAATAATAATCATTTTCAAATGTCATAATGGACCATTTAATTATATTAGTGGCAATTCTACATTTATTTTATTCTCCATTTACAAAAGTCGAGGAAAGTTTTAATCTTCAAGCAATTCACGATCTTCTTTATCACGCTTCTAACCTAAGTGAGGTAAGTTTCTTTCTTTTTTTTTTTTTTTTTTGCTTTTTTTAACTTTATATTTCTAAAATATTCTAAAAATAAAAGAAAATTTTTTTAAATTTATTTCATAACCGGAAGTGTCAATTTTTTTTAAACTGAAGAAACAAACAAAATTACTGAAAAATTGTATGTAAATTTAGAATAATAAAAGGAAAAAAAACATGCCACGTATTTATAAACTCTGTGATCCGGCTTTTCTAAACTTAAAAGTATTTCCGATTTCCAAAATTTATGTTTTCTTCCTTATGTTAATTTTCCTCTTTGCTTTTTGAATTTTATTAATTTATTATTTTTATTTTATTAATTACAGAATGTTTTTTTTATTTTAAATAATAAATACACTTGCCACTTGCTAACTATTGTTTTGTTAATTTAATTTTCAATCTGTAATTTATTGTTTCTTTTTGTTTTTTATTGTTTCTTTTTTTTGAAAAATGATTGTTTATACTTTTATTTAATTGTAATTTATGATTGGAATTTATTTTTACTAAATATTATAAATTATTAACTTATAAATGAATATATTATTATTATTTATTAGTATTGTTAATAATAAATAATAATTACTTTATTAATTAACGATATTTCAATTTTTCCTTTTAAAATTAAAGAGAAAACATTTTTTTTCAGTATGATCATCATGAATTTCCGGGAGTCGTGCCCAGAACATTTTTGGGACCAATTGCAATTTCAAGTTTAGCCGCACCTGCAGTTGCTGCCGTTAAACATTTTAATATAAATAAATTTTATTCCCAATATATTGGTAAGTTTTAAATTTGAAAAAAAGTAATAAACTCTTGAATTTTTTTTAGTTTTTCATTCTCTCCTTAAAATAATATTTAAAAACAATTTAAAAACATTTAAAAACAAATCACTTTACCTATAAAATAAAGAAAAAGAAAAATTCAAAAAAAATTAAACAATAAATTACAAAAGAAAAAAAATGTTAAAATCATTTGTTTAATAATTAATTGAATTTTCAAAAAATTCTTTTATTGTAGTTGAAACAATTTTAATGTAGAATTTTTTTTTTTCACTTTGATTTTCAAAATAAAAATTTTTTATTTTTTCTTTAAAATCTATGGAAATTATTGTTTTAATAATGTGATAAAAATAATTATTTGCAATTTTTTTCATTTAATTTATTCATTTTTTGATTATTTTTTTAATTTAATTTTTTTATTTTCAATTTAATTTTCAAAATAGAAATTTCTTATTTTTTCTTTAAAATTTATGGAAATTATTGTTTTAATAATATAATAAAAATAATGATTTGTAATTTTTTTCATTTCATTTATTTACTTTTTTACTTTAATTTAATTGTTTTTTTTGTTTTCAGTGAGAGCTGTACTGGGTTTAACTATAATAGTGACTCTGAGTCTTTATCGAAGAGCATTGCAATCAATTTTTGGCGTTAAATTTGTAAAATGGTTTGTCGGAATTACCGTCACTCAGTTTCATTTTTTATATTATCTCAGTCGACCATTGCCGAATATTATGGCAATGCCTTTAGGTAAATAATCACAAAATAAAAGAAATGTAAATTAATTTTTTATTAATTAATTTACTGTTAATTATTTTATTCGTGAACTAATTCATTATTAATACTTTTACTTGTAAACTAATTTTTTATTGACTAGATTTAGATTTTTTTTTAGATTTAGAATTGTCTATTGACTATTTTATTAGTAAATTAATTGATAATCAATTTTTTATAACGAAAAAAAGGCTTTTTTCTTTTTTTGAAATTAATCATTAAAACATAATATTAAAATAGTTTTCGTTTTCAATTTCAGTTCTACTTGCTCTTTATGGATGGATGAGGCGAAATCATGTTCTCTTCATCATTTCTTCGGCTGCCGTTATAATTATTTTTCGCGCCGAATTAGCCATGCTATTGGGAATGTTTCTCTTTTACGATATTGCCAATTCAAAAATTACAATTCATAGGTATTTTATTTTAAACGATTAGAAATTTCAATTATTAATATTTAATTTTCAATTTTCGTTTTATTTTTTATTTTATTTTTATTTTAACAATTTATACGGGCTAAACGGTTTTTCATAAAAGAAAACAAGATTTTTGTTGTTCAGTAGAAAAACACTTGTGTTTTTTGTAATGGACACAAAAAACATTTTTCTTTTAATCTTTTTTTCTGTTAGAAAAAAAATAAATTAATAAGAAATTTAAATTACTTTGTTAAAATAATAAATAATTATTTTTTTGCAGATTATTAAAAATTGCAGTGCCTTCTGGAATATTTTTTCTCTCACTAACAATAATTGTGGATTCATTTTTTTGGAAACGAATCGTATGGCCGGAGGGAGAAGTTTTCTACTTTAATACAATTTTGAACAAAAGTAGCGAATGGGGCGTATCCTTTATAATGAAAAAAGACGTAAAAATAAGAAAAAGGTTTTTTTTTGAAGCTTTTTTAAATAATTAGGTAACTATATTAATTTACGTTTTTTTATCTTAATTTTGTATTAGTTATTATTTACATTCGAAAAGGCTTTTTTATTTTATTACCATTATTGTTAATTTTTATTATTTTTATCTAAAATTTTCAATTTAATTTATTTATTTTATTATTGTTTCTATTAAATATTATTTTTGTCATTATTTATATTTTATACTTTTCATTACTGTTCTTTTTATTATTTTCATTATTTTTTTTTATTAATATTATTATTTTTTATTATCGCTGTTATTTTTTTAATTTCTATCATCATTATTATTACTTTCTTTTATTACTTATTATTGTTAAATAGTTTTTTATTATTACAATTATCATCAACCTTAACGGTGAAAAAATAGACTTCGCCATTTTTATGGTACTTTTATTCGGCTCTACCACGAGGATTGGCACTTTCCTATTTTCTAATTCCACTGGGAATTTTGTGGGACTCACGAGTTCGAGCCCTCACCATTCCTGGCATAACATTCGTTATTTTATTCTCATTTCTCCCTCACAAAGAACTACGATTTATCATCTATGTGTTTCCATTATTAAATGTCGGTGCCGCTGCTGCTTGTCACCGTATGTAAGTTTTTGTTGTAATTTATTCGATAAATATAAAAATACAATTAAAAAAAGAAAAAAAAATTAACTAAATATTACCAAAAAAATAATAAATTATATTTTTCTGCTTTACAGTTGGGAAAATCGAGAAAAATCATTTTTTAATGGACTATTGGCTCTGGCGATTCTAGGACATTTGGTGTTAAATGCAACATTTTCAATGTTTCTTCTCTGCGTCGCCGGTGCTAATTATCCCGGCGGAATGGCAATCGCTCGTCTCCATAGAATCGAAAAAGAGAGAATTGAACCAGTTTATGTTCATATCGATGTTTTTTCCGCACAAACCGGAATCTCACGATTCACACAAACAAATCCCAAGTGGATGTGAGTTTCCTCTCATTTAAATTTAATTAAATTTAATTAACAAAATAAAAAAAATTCATTTTATTTAAATTTGAAAAAATATTTTTATTTTTGAAAAGAAATAATTCTCTTTCTTTTTCTTTTTAATGCAGTTACTCGAAGGAGGAAAATTTAACCATCGACAGTCCGGAAGTGTTGAAATTCACTCATTTATTGATGGAGGCAAAAAGTAAATATTCACCAAACATAAAATCCTATTTGAAAACGCACGAAATTCTCGATTCTGTTGATGGATTTTCTCACATTGCATTAAATTACAATTCATTACCGCCAATACAAATTAATACAAAACCAGCAATTTATCTCATGCGACGGAAATCAAGTGAAATGTACAATTCATTGAATACACGATCAAAGCGTTCAATTCAAAGAAATTCCAATGAAATCGAATTTTTAAATTCAGACGAAAATTTACAAAATATAAAACCAATATTTCACGATATCGTTGGATCATTAAGAGAAATTGGTACGGAAAATGATTTATTCACTGGTGAAAATTTTCCATACATTGAAAATTCCCTGGAAAATTTTAATTCCAATGAGCAATTTTCCTCCGAATTATTAAATATCAAGGAATTTATCGAAAAATACGAAATGGAGAATAATTTTCTTCACGATGAATTGGAAAAAAATGGAGAATTTCAAATTAATGATGTAAATAATGAAAATAATGAAAATAATAATTCTAAAGAATATGTTAATAAAGGAAAATTAAACGACGATGAGAATAGTGAACAAATCGAATCAACTTCCGCGGAAAATGGTCCGAAAAAACATTTGAAAATCAAATCAAGGGAGAAAAGTGAGAAACAAAAATCGGGAAGTATTAAGGAAGCGGTGAAGAAAATTATTCAGGAAAAAATGGAATTGAGGGCGAAAAAGGAAAATTTACAGCAACAGAAGGAAAAAAATCAATTGGCAAGAAATCAAAAACAATTTGATAATGAAGACAATTATTTGGAAAGAGAAAATGAAAGCAACGATGAAGAAAATCAATTTTCCAGGGAAAAATCTTATTTCAATGATGATGAAGAGGAAGAAGAAGAAGAAGAAGAAGAAGAAGAAGAAGAAGAAGAAGAAGAAGAAGAAGAAGAAGAAGAGGAAAATTATTTTCTTGAGGAAAAAAATCAGTTTGAAAAGGGAAAAAATTATTTTCCCAACAAACAAAACTTGGACTCAAGAGAAAATCGATTTTTAAAAGAAAAAAATTATCTTCACGATAGAAATCAAATTGACGCCGAGGAAAAAGTGTTTTTGAAGGAAAAAAGTTATTTTCCCAATGAAAAAAGGAATTTTGCAAGAGAGAATAATTTTGACCAAGAGGAAAATAATTTTTCTAAGAAAAATAAATTAGAAGCTGAAGAAAATCATTTTTTGAAAGAAAACAATAAGATTGCAAAAGAAAATAATTATTTCGATAACGAAATTAAATCGGAATCTCAAGAAAATCAATTTCCGAAAGAAAAAGTGAGTTTTACAAAAGAAACTTTTCCCAAAGAAATTAAATTTGTCAAAGAAAATAAATTTGCAATAGAAAATAATTATTTCGATAGCGAAAATAAATTTGAATCTCAAGAAAATCTTTTTTTAAAAGAAAAAACCTCTTTTAATGCCAAAAAAAATCAGTTTGAAGTAGAAAAAAATTATTACGACAGAGAAAAAAATAATAAAAAAGAAAAAAATTACCTCGATAAGGAAAAAATCGAATTTAATAATCAAAATAATCAATTAAACGAGAAAAGAAATAAAGAAATAAATCTTTCAAATCGAAAAAAATTATCAAACATAAAAGAGAGTATACAAAAAATAATCCAACAATTCAAAGAATTCGAGGAAAATTTCATCATCGATGAAAACACCGACTACGATAACAATGAAGAATCTAATGAAAAAATAAAAGATCTTAAAAAGAAATCTTCAGAACAAGAAATTTTCACAAAAAATTCAATTGAGAGTAATGAAAATATTTTTGATTCTAAAGATTTAAAGAATGCTCGCGAAACTTTAGGTGAAATAATGAATCAATTTAAAATACTTAGAAGTGAATTATTAAGCAACGATGAGGACAATGAATTTGATGAAATTGCTAATAATTATTTGACACAATCAATTGCCGAGACTCTAATGCATTTTAATGAGGCATTAAAAAATTTAGTGCAACGGCGAAAAATTCAGGAAAACAAATTAATTCAGAGTGAATTGAGTGAAAAAAATACGAGAAAAACATTTAATAGTAATGTAGAAAAGAGAAGAATAAATACTAGAAGTAATGAAATTATTCACGAGCATAAAAGCGAAAGGGAAATTTGGAGAAATAGAAAATTGTGAGTGAGTGATTTTTTTTTCCTTTTTTCTTTTCGAATGTGGAAAAAAATGTAAAATGCACTTTTTTTAATGAAAAATGTAATTTAAAATTTTGTAGAATTTCCAAATTTTAATCACTTTAAATTTTTTAGCATTTAAAACGAATTTTTAATTTTTTGAATTGTATACAGTTTTTAATTTTTAAATTTTATACAATTTTTTAATTTTTGACATTTTTTATTAAAAAAAAGTACATTATTAGTACTTTTGTATTCAAAGTCCTTGAATATGTTATTACAGGAGATCTAGTAACTGAAAAATTTGCTATACAATTTTTTTTTCCAATTATTACAAATATTTTGCCAAATATTTTTTTAATTTGTCGAACGTTAATTTAATAGAATTTTCATATTTAATCGAATTTTAATTCAACAAAAATTTTAATATTTAACTGAAATTTTATTCAAGACTATTTTTAATTTGAATAATTTTTTATTCATTGCAAATTTATTTTACTTTTATATTTTTTTTTCTTTTATTGCATTTATTTTTTTTAAATTGATTTTTATTTCGATGATTTATTTTAATGCAAAATTCTAAATAATTTTTGTTTACATAAAATTGTAAAAAAGTTTTCAAGTTAAATTTAATTGTTGTAAAATTCTTGAAAATTTACCATTAAATTTTTTATTTTTACAAAAAATCTTTTTAAAAAATTTACAATTAAATTTTAATTCTTGTAAAATTATGAAGAAAATTTAATTTAAAAATTGTTTTTAAAATTATAAAACTTAATTAAAATTTTCGTTTCTGTAAAATTCTAATATAAAAATTTTTTATTAAACTTTCATTCACTCAAGCACTCTAAGAAATTAATGGATAAATTTTTATTTTCTCAAAATTCTAAGAATACTTTTAAATAAAATTTTTATTTTTGCAAAATTCTAAAAATATTTTTAAATAAAATTTTAATTTTTGCCAAATTCTAAAAAAATTTATAGTTTAATATTAATTGTTGAAAATTCTAAATTTAAATGTTTAAAAATTGTAAAAAATACAAAATTTTAATTTTCACAAACTCGAAAAAATTTTAAAGTTAATTTTTAATTGTTGCAAAATTCTAAAGAAAAATTAATTTAAAAATTTTTACTTTTGCAAAATTCCAAAAAATATAGTTAAATTTTTTTTAGTAGATTCCCTGTACAATAGCAAATATTTTGTAAATACGACGTATTCTGTGATACCAACTTTTATCGCATGACTTGACAATATGTTTATTAAATATTTAACGTAGAAAAATATTTTTTCTTTCCTTTTTTTTATTTCTAATAGAATTTTTGTTTAAAAGACTTTTGCGCGAGCCATGTGCCTTATAGAGAACATTTTCTTCCTTTTTCCAATTAAATTCGATTCAAATTGAATTTATTGGTGTAAAAAAACGATAATTAATAATTAAGATATTTTGTATATACAACAAAAATGTATTTAAAAAAAAAATATTAAAATATTATTAAAAAAATACACTTTAGAATTATTGACTTATTCAATTATGAATTATGAAAATTTATTTCTTTACATAATTAAATAATTTTTAATTTTTACTATTTTTTATTCAAAATTTTTACTATTTTTTTATTTAACATTAAATTCCAACCATTCAATTATTTCATATTAAATTTTTCTTATTTTATTAAATAATTAATTTTTTCTATTGTTTTCAATTATTTAAATTTTTTTTAATTTTTATTTCATTCTTGTGTTTGAAATCATTTAAAATTTCGCGCCACTTGAGCTCAAATTTTAAACCGAGAAAATTCAATGCAGCTACTTCAGAGTACTTTTTATTATAAAAATAAACTTTTAACTATTTTCTATTTTAATTAATTACACATTTTTTAAATTCTAAATTTCCAAAAAATTGTTTAACCATTTTTTATTAATATTATTTTCTATATTTGTTTTTATTTTAATATTAAGGGCATTTGAACCTTGATGACGTTACAGATTGTGCAAAGCATGTGTGACGTCATCAAGGTTTAAATGCCCTTAAAGATTTTAAATTACTTGAAATTTTGTTTCCCTATTGTGGCAACACTGCTCACGACTCGAGTCAAGTAAAATAACGATACTTCCGGTGTTTTGCTTGGGGGCCTTGGGGGGTAGGAGTTTCGCGCATGCGCACTTGTGTTCAAGAATTTATCGTCGTAAACAACATTTTTTTTTCCAATATACACACCACCATTTCCGTGAAACTGTTAACTTCGGAAATCAAGCGGAATCGCACGTTAAAATAAAGCTTTCAGTGCTTAATTTCACATTCTCGAGTAAATTATACAAGTGAAAATGCTGCGTTTACTAATTTAATAGAGATAAATTTTAATAATTTACCTTTCTTTCTGTTGTAATTCTCCTAGTTATGCGGTGACGTCATCGTAAATCGTTCTTGAAAGAACGCTAAAACCAGGACAAAAATGGCGGGTGGGTGTTTTTCGGAAAGGGCGTCAAACACGTCTATCTGGAAAGAAAAAAAATTTTTTTTTTCCTCTTTGAATTTTCAAAAAAGCAATTTCGATTTTTAATTTTTAAAAATTGATTGTAAAAAATATAATTGTGAATTTTTTTTTTATTTATTACAGATCTCTACGCAACTTATAAATGCACTTATTGTCAAGAAGACATCTCAGGATTGCGGATCAAATGTGCAGAATGCACTGATTTCGACCTATGTTTGCAGGTGAGTGAAAATTAATAAAAATAATTTTTTTGCAAATATTTACTTATATTTGTGATTGTCAGGCGACGTAAACTTGGATTTATTTATTAAACCCCTATTTTTGTGCTTCTATTTCTCGTTGACAAACTACTCAATCTTTATTTGTTATTTTTCCAACCGGCTTTTTTGATTTTAATTATTATCTCAACTAAATTTTAGGTTATGTTTGTACTTATTAAAAAGCGGTTTTTCGTTTCTAGTTTAAAATAAGAGGATAAATAGAAAATAATTAATTATTTTTATTGTTATTACTATTGTAATTTTGTTAGTTCTCGTTAATTTCAAAATTGAAATAATTTTTAACATTAATTGAAGAGATTTTTAAAAATTACATTCGATATTTTGATTAGTTTTTCTTTTTATAATTTTTAGCGGGAAAATAAATGTTATTTGCAAATTGACTTCCCCAATGGAATTTTTCACTACTTTTTGAAAATTTAAAATATTAAATTAATGTTATTAAATAAATGAATATTTTTTTAAAAATAAAAATATTCTTTTCGAAAATATTAAAGTGTACATTCAACTTAAATTATTAACTGGTTTTCAAAAATGTAAATGTATTTTTACATTTTTTTTTTATATTTATCAAAACTAAATTTTTTTAATTTTTCAACAATTCAAAATTAAATTAAAATTTTCTTTAGTATTTTGCAAAACTGAAAATTTTTAAATTATGGTTTTTTATATTTTGCAAACATTAAAATATAACTTAAAAATTCTTGTAAAATTTTGCGAAAATAAAAATTAAACTATAAATTTATTAGAATTTTGCAAAAATTAAAATTTAACAAAAATAATTAAATTGTGGATTTAAAAATGCTAAAAAGTTTTTTTTAAAAAGTATATTTTCTCAAAATAAATAAATAAATAAATTTTTAAACCTTCAAAATATTTAGTGAAATTCAAAAAAAAACTTTCTTTTGGGAAAATTGTGATAAAAATAATAAAAAATTGTTTACAGTGCTTTTCATCGGGCTCGGAAATCGGTCCCCACAAAAATGATCACGCTTATCAATTTATGGACTCGGGGACAGTTAGTTTATTCAATGGCCGAGGTAACTGGACAGCGAGGGAAGAATTACGATTATTGGACGCGATCGAGCAATTTGGTTTCGGAAATTGGGAAGATATCAGTAAACATATCGAAACACGTACTCCGGAAGGTAAAAATTAATTAAAATCTCCTTCTCAAAACAAAAAAAAACTTAGTTATTTACGATTTTATTCTAATTTGAATTGAATAATTATTTTCCCAAATAATTAATTTTAATTATTTTCCCAAACAATTAAATTCAATTATTTTCAACTATTTATAAAAATTTATTCAAAAAATTCAATTATTTCAAAACAAAATTTAATTAAAATTCGTTGCAAAAATTTAATTATTTTCATTAATAACAAATTTCTTCGCAATATTTCAATTATTTTTAATACAATTTTAAATGATTTCTTCGTAGATTTTATGGAAAATTAGTAAAATACTTTGAATTTAGTTAAAATTCTGTAAATAATACAATTTGTCAAAAATTCCAAACTATATGGATTTTTTTAGAAGTAAAAATTATTTTATATTTGTTACCTTTTATAAAAAAATTTCCAAGTTTAAATACTCGGAGAAATAATATAGAAAGATTTTTAAGAAAGAAGAATTTTTTTTATACAATTACAAACCAAGGGTGTCGATAAATAATTATTTTTTTCTTTTTCTCGCAGAGGCGAAAGAAGAATACATAGCCAGGTATTTAGACGGAAACATAGGAAAGCACACATGGCCTTCAACGGAGATTTATAAACCAAATCTAACCGATCAAACAAATTCTGACCACGGGCCTTTATCACCTGACGTCACTTCACGTCTGCCTCCATTAGACATAACAAAAGAGGAAGCCGCACAACTTGGTTACATGCCACAACGAGATGATTTCGAATGGGTAAAATTTCATTAATTTCCTTCTCGAATCAAAAAATTTACTTCCCTCTTTTTTTTGATTTTTCATTTCCCTATTTCTTTCAGTTCATTTTTTTTTTCTTTTTTTTTGTAATTTTCTAATAATCAAAAAACTGTCTTTCAGGACTACAATCACGAAGCTGAATCTCTCGTTTCATCATTGTTTTTAAATCCAACTGAGGATGACGATCTTGACATTGCCCTAAAGCTCGCACAAGTCGATATGTATACAAATAATCTCAGGGAAAGAGCGAGAAGAAAACGTGTCGTTCGTGATTATCAATTAGTTTCAGCGTTTTTTTCTTCCTCGCGAAAAGAACGTGGTGTCAAGAGGAAACGAACAAAGGAGGATAAGTAAGAAAAACTTTCTTCTTTTTACTAAAAAAAAAAAATTTTCTAATAACTTTCAGAGAATCCCACCTTTTTTATTTTTGCTATAAAATCATAAAAAAAGTCCCTCCTTTAAAAAAAATAATTGAATTTTTTACAGGAGTTCAATTATTTAAAAAACTTTTAATAAAATTCAATTCAAAAATTCAATTATTTTTAAAAATAATGAAAATTTCGCTGGAATTCATTTATTTTAAATACAATTTTAATAAATTTATTCTCAAAAATTCAATTTTTTTTTTAATTTTGCAAAAATTCAATTATTTGTAAAAATAATAAATTTTCCTATTTAATTATATTAAAATCATTCATAAAAAATTAAATTCTTTTAAACAATTTAATTAGAGTTTTTGTAAATAATTACATTTCTTTTCTTTCTTTCTTTTTTTTGAAAAATTTCATTGCATTTCGTAAAAATAATGTAATTTTTCATTTCATTTCATTTCATTTATTATAAACGGGTCTTGCTTACTTTTAAAAGTAATTTGTAATTGAAAATCATGAAAATAATTTAAATTTACAAAGAATTTTATTAAAAACTTTTGAGAACAATTGAATTGTTTAGACAAATTTTATTGCAATTTTTAAAAATAATTGATTATTTATAATTAAATAATCTAATTTAATTGATATTTAAAAAAATAATTGTATTCTTTAAAAAAACTTTATTAAAATTGTATTAAAAATAATTGAATTGCTCTAAAGAATTTTATTATTCATGAGAATAATTAAATTCTTGCGAAAACTTGTATTAAAATTTTTGAATAATAATAAACAAGAATATTTAATACAATGTACTTAATAAGTGAATTCTTTAAATTTTGAATCTGTAATCATTTAAAAATTGATGTTTATTCTTGAAAAAACAAAGTTTTTTAATTCACAAAATAATAATAAATCATTTGCTAGTAATAATAATAATAGTTAATAAATTGAATAATTTTGCTTGCATCATAGATAATAAAAATTTACTAATATTGAATTATAATTAAAAACAGAGACTTTAGAGAGCGAATGAGGGTGTTTGCGCAATTTTACACTGCCCAGGAATACGAGCAATTTCTTGCGAATCTTGAACGTGAACGTGAATTACGCTTAAGACTCTCGGAATTGCATCGTTATAGAGAGAATGGCGTTACAAAACATGAGGAATGCGCACATTTTGAGCAAGTTATCTTGCAATCACAGGGACAAACTGACGTTGATCATTGGTCAGATAAAAAATCTGTAAGTATTTTTCAAAATTTTCTTTCTTTCTTCATTGTTTGTTTCATTGTTTATTTTTCTTTTCTTTTTAATTAACAATTCGTAACCATTTTTTTCTTTTTTACTAAATCCAATATTTTATTATCTCTCATTTATTTTAATGCAAGAAAAAAGAAAAATTGAAATTTCAAAATTTTCACTAATAAAAAAAAAGGAATTATTATTTATACAGCAATGGTTGTTTCATGTTAATGTTTCAGCTACAAAATATATTTTAAAAAAAGGAACAAACAAATTTGCACCGAATTATTTTTTGCAACAAAATTCATTGCTTTTTGTCGTAGATTTATTAGACAAAAATCACGATTTTTTTATTCTTCTCTTTTTATTTAATTATCAAAATTTTTTAAACTATTATTATTCACTATCATTATTATTAATGATTTAATTAATATTCAAATAACTCGAGTAAAAAAATTCATCAAAACAAAAAGAAATATAAACAAAGAATTGTTATTTCTATAAAAAAAACTATTTTTTTACTTCATTTAGTTTTTACATTGAAAACTAAATTGTTTTTCGATTTTTGAACGAAGGAGAAAAAAAAAGTATTTACTAAAAATGAAAAATAAAAATTAATTGAAAATAAAAAAATAGAAAAAATGTTAAGTAACACAAAAAATTTTTCCTTTTTTTGAGTGATTAAAAATTATTTGAAATTGAAAAATTTTAATCACTATCGGTGATTATTTTATTTCCTGGCAAATAACGCAATGACAGACAAAAGAAATTTTTTGGATTTTAATTTTTATTTTATTTTTCGCGTTCTTTTTTCCCTCGCATTTCTACTGTTATGATTTTCTTTTTAAATTTTTATTCAAATACTGTTTTATTATTATTAATAATTAGAATTAAAATTTAACATAAAAATATATTTAAAAATAACAATTATGCTTTCCAATCACTAATTCTATTGTTTGTTGTGCGTGTTGCTAGGAGTTTGTTAACAGATTGTATCAGTTTGCATTTCACTTAGGGCAGCAGTGGGCCGTCCACAACAATTCACCGTCAAACCTCAAGAAAAAGGTAAGAATTTTCATTTTTTTTTTAATTTAGTATATTTTTTCCTAGTTTTCTCTTTCCGTCTCTCTCCTATTTTTATTTTTTATTTTCCCTCCTTTCCCCTCAATTTTTTTGAATCAGAATTTTTTTTCGAATCACAAATCCACAATTTTAAACAATATTCATAAAATTTTGTCTAACTTATAAAATAATTCTAAAATTCTAAAATTTTCAAGTTCTCTAAAGATTTCAATTTTTTGAAAAAATTTTACATTCAAAACTTTTTTAAAACTTTCAGTTTTTACAAAGAAATTGAAAGAAAATATCCACTTGAAGATAAAGTTATTGAAACTATTTTTTTGGTCGCATAAAAGAAAATCAAAATTTTAAGTTAATTTGAACAATTTCGAAATTCTATTTCTTCCTTTTTTTTTTGCCATAAATATCAAAATATTATTTTCCTTTCTATCGAAAGTTTTAATTTGAATTCAGAATTCAAAATTCTAAATTCTCTTCATTGTAAAATTTTTGTAAATTTATTTAATATTTAAATTATTTTTTAAAATAATAAAAAATAAATATTTTTTTAAAATAATAAAAAGTAAATATTTTTTGACGTTCCAGTTTGTAAAAGTTGAAGGAGCATGCGCTTATCGAAAGTAGAAATATTGCATGGGATCAGATTTTTTATAAATAAGGTAAAAACTAAAGAAGCATCAGCGCAAAAAATGTTTTACATTCTCAATTTTTTATTTAAAAAAAAATATATTCTAAATGTCGCACACGCACAAAAACACTTAAATGTCAATTTATTTTTATTTTGCTAAATAGCGCTGAGCTTGTTTGGTTTTCTGCTTTATTTTTCTTTTTCGAAAAAAATAAATTATTTTCGCTTCTTTTTCTAGAATCGCATGAAAATTTACAAAAAAAATTTCTTTTTAGAAAAAACAAATATGATTTCTCCATTTTTAGCGCACATCAATCAATATCATTTGCACCATATTTTAAGTTTCATTTTTTAATGAAATTTTTCACGGACCGAGAAGTAGGAAGAACACTTTTTTTTTACTCTAATTAAAATTAGTAATAAATAATTTTAATTATATTATAATTATTGCAAAGAAAACAATCGTTTATTCCTATATATAAATCAAGAAAGTAATTTACTTCCTAATTTAAAGAAAAGAATATTTTTTCTATTCTCTAAATTAAAATCTAAAAGAAAATACAAAAAAAAAATTTCATTATACAAAAATGTAAGTCAAAATTCTTCAATTATTTAATTTCAAAAGTAAATTATAAATTTTATGTTTATTACTGTTGATAAATTAATAACTGAATATTTATTAATATTTATTTCCAAAACAAAAAATAAATATTGATTATAAATATTAATTAAAAAAACATTTATTATAAACATTTATTTATTATAGCGAAAGTATGTAATAAAAAAATTTTTAATTTTATAAATTTGAAGAAAAAATATAAAAAAAGGATTCAATTACAATGTAAAATATTAATTTCATAAATAGAAAAAGTATTGTTTATTATTTTCTTATAAAAAATGAGTAATTCGCATATTTTTGATTTTAATTTAACTTTTTTTTGCCTGTTGCTTGCTAAAGGAACGGAAAAATCGAATGCTTTTAAAAAACAAAAGCGTTGCTGTATAAAACAATTTTCAAAACAAAAATTCATTTTTCATTAACTACTTTAATTTTTATAAATTATTATTGTTAACAATTATTAACAAATTTAATAAAAAAGATATATAATTATTAAACAAGCAATTGAAAAAGACCATAACAATTATAATTATATTTATAATAATAATTCTTATGGAATTTTACAAATGCTTGTAACACAAAAGAAATAATTGTTGTAATTTGTTCGTTGAAATAATAGTTTTTTTCAGTTAATTATTTATAGTAAATACAATTTCAATTATTTTATAGTAATAGTAATTGTAATTGATAGTAATCTTTCGAATGTTTTTTTTCTGTACGATTGTCAAAAAAAAAAAAATATTTTGATATGTATTTTTTTTAATTTGCCTTCTTTTATATTGTTTGAGATTGTTTCTAATTTTTTTTTTGTTGGTGGAAAAAGTGGAGAAAAAAAAATGTTAAAATGGTGAATTTTGAAATTTTTACAGAGAAGAAGAAAAAAGCTCCTCTTTCATCGACCGAAAGTCCATGTCAAGAGAATCAGCCAGCACCAGCTCATTAATCAGTCACAATCGGACGACGACTCCAGCCAATCAGTGGGTGGAGCAGGATAACAATCGGTCATATTCCGCTTTAAATTACGATGCAGAGAGGGACTTTATGAATTCGGGCAAAAATGAGGATTCAGAGGAGCGCGATGTCGAGGCAGAGGCTGCCTCTCATCTACTCACTAAACAAGAGAAAACACTTTGTCTTCAACTCGATTTAAAACCAACACAGTATTTGACGCAGAAAACAATTTTACTTCAGGTAAAAAAATTATTTCTATTTACTTTTCTATATTAACTATTTTATAAATTAAATTATTCTAGACTTGAATAATTTAATTGTTAAATATTAATTTTTCGACAGGAATTAATATTTTAAATAATTTCAATGTAAAATCTTATTCTTTCTAAAAATTACAACTTTCATTCTTTCAAAATTCGCAAAAATTTTGTTGTTGAATTTTTGAAATAAAATTATTCAAAACAGACATTCAATTATAATTTCAAAAGTAATAAAATTTTTCGCATAAATTCAATTATGTTCAAAAATTAAAAAAAAATTCCCGTCAAAATTCAATTGTCTTTAAAAATAATAAAATTCTTCTCCAAATTTCAATTATTTTAAAAAATTTTAATAAAATTCTTTGCAAAATTTCAATTATTGTCGAAAAATTTTCACCAATTCAATGATTTTCAATATCTACTAGTTTAATAAAATTTTTCAAAAGAATTCAATTATTTAAAAAAAAATGTTGGTAAAAATCTAAGCAAACATTAAATTATTTTCATAAATAATAAGAATTTCACAGAAATTCAACTATTTACAAATTTTTTATAAATTTCTTCGCAATAATTCAATTATTTTCATAAATAATAACATTTTTTAAAAGAATTCAATTATTTTCATTGAATAATAAAACTCATCATAGAATTTCAATTATTTTTAATACATTTTTAATTGAATTCCTCGAAAAATGTAATTATTCCTGAAAATTTTATTAAAATTCCTTGAAAAAATTCAATTTTGATGAAAAAATTTTTTATGATAATTCAATTTCGAGAAATATTCATTTATTCAATAAATTATTTATTTTTGTATTTAAATAATTGAATTCTCGTAGAATTTTCCAATAAAAATTGATTTAAAATTGAATTTTAGATAAAATTTTAGATAATAATTGAATATTAAAAACATTATAGCATGAATTCTTAAAAATAATTGATAATTGAATTCTTTCGAAGAATTTTAATAAAATTTAAGAAAATAATTCCATTTTTCTAAGAATTTACTTTAAATTGGATTAAAAATAATTGAAATCCTCAGAAAAATTTTATAATTTATGAAAATAATGAAATTCTTACAACGATTTTTATCAATTTTTTTAAATAATTGAATTCATGTGGAAAATTTTATTACTTGTAAAAATAATTGAATTCCTGCAATAAATTTTATTACATTTTATTTAAATAATTAAATTCTTTTGAGAACTTTTATTAAAATAGTAAATTTTGAAAATTTTTGAATTTCAACGAAGAATTTCATTATTTGTGAAATGTAATTTAATTCTTGCAAAAAATTTTTGAAGATAATTTCATTTTTCGAGAATTTTACTTAAAATTGTATTAAAAAAATAATTGAAATCCTGTGAAGAATTTTATTAATTTATGGAAGTAATTGAATTCTTGCAATCAATTAAAAGAAATTTTTTTTAAATAATTGAAATAATGTAAAGAATCTTATTATTTATGAAAATAATTGAATTACTGCAACGAATTTTACTACATTTATTTTAAATAATTGAATTCTTTTGAGAACTATTATTAAAATATTAAATTTTGAAAATTTTTAAATTTCAGCGAAGAATTTCATTATTTGTGAAATGTAATTGAATTATTGCAAGAAATTTTTGAAGATAATTTCATTTTTCGAGAAATTTACTTAAAATTGTATTAAAAATAAAATAATTGAAATCCTGTGAAGAATTTTATTATTTATGAAAATAATTGAATTCTTGCAACGAATTGTATTATAATTTTTGGAAGTGTAATTTAATTTTTTTTTGAAAAATTTTATAAAAATTAAAATTTTTATAAAACATGAAGATATCAATTGCTCCGAGTCGAAGACTTTTTTTAATTTGTCTAATTTTTCCCCCTGTTTTTTCTTTAAGGAATATTTGACTGGCAATAGAAAATCGAATATTGTCCCGCAATCGGAACCCGAGAGCAAAATCCTCCATTATTTGGTTGCCAACGGCTGGATCGCTGCCAACTGATTGCTTGAATTCGTTTTAAGTTTGCCTCTAAGTCAACCTCTGTGTATCGACAGCTAAGTCTTTATTATCTTTAAGAAGAAAAAATTGAAACACAAAAAAAAATATTATATCTCTAAAATTTTAATATCTCTGAATTATGGAGCAGTCGAAAAAAAAATCTAGATTTTTATTGATAATTTTACCAAAGAGAAATACACAAGAAGAAAGATTAGAAGAATAAAAAAAGAACATTCACTGAAACTATTTTCAATTAAAATTTCCAAAAAAAAGTTTCTCTAATTCCAAAACATGAATTTAGAATAAAAATTAATTGAAAAATAAACTTAATGATAATTTCCGCGTCTTGAAAAATGTTTTTTTTTTGTCCTCGAATAAGAAATTTTAGGTAGAAAATATTTTAACAATAAAATATTAGAAAAATTTTTATCTTCCGGGAGAAAGAATTCTTTTTTTGAAATCTGTTCAGTGTTTGTCGGTAATTGTAGTGAATTTAAAAAATTTTTAATTGATTTATAATTTTCGCCTGTTTCAAATTCATTGATTTAACATTAAAAAATCCAAAGAATCGTCTCTTTGGTATTTTTAATGCTGAATATAAAACTCGGTTTATTAAAACAAAAAAAATTATCTTGGGATAATTTTTTTTTCTTGTAAATAAAAAAAAAACTAGTACCTTTCTTAGAAATATAATGAGCGTTTTTCACGCTTGGGAACACAAAAAATACGATTTGTTTTTTAGTGAAGAAAAAGATGTGTCTAGTGTAAAAATTAGTACGTGTCGAGTGATATTTAAATGAAAAACAAAAAAAAAATTTTAAATCGTTTTTGTGTGCGACTTGAATTGTAAAATTTTCCAATTGAAAAAAAAATTCAGAAAATAATTTTAATCTCGCAGCAGAAGAGAAAACAGTGAAGATTACAAAAAACAAAAATAAATGAAATTAATTGAAACTTCCATTAATTAGTCTTCTTAGTTTAAAAAAAAAGTTTAATTTTATTTCCACTAAAAGATGCGCTTGAATATTTTCCTCTTTTTAGAAAAGAAAAAAAAAGTTCATTTACGGAAAATTTAAAAACATTGACTTAAATTTTAGTATTAATAAAATTATAATTAATTAATTACTATGTTTATAATTTAATAAAATTTATTAAATTATTATTTAGGTAAATAATTAAATTTTTATTTAGTCGAATTAAATTAGTATTCAGTGATATGATTAAAATACTATTTAGTAAAATTAAAATTCTGACTAGTAAAAACTAAAATGCTACTTTGTAAAAATTAAAATACTATTTAGTAAAAATTAAAATTCTATTTAGTAAAAATTAAAATTCTATTTAGTAAAAATTAAAATTCTATTTAGTAAAAATTAAAATACTATTTAGTAAAAATTAAAATTCTATTTAGTAAAAATTAAAATACTATTTAGTAAAAATTAAAATACTATTTAGTAAATTTTTTCAATTTACTATTTAAAGAAAATAAAAATAACAAGAAAAAAACGTATTTTCTACGAAGAAATAATAACAAAGAAAATATTAATCCAACGTTTACAACAATTACATTAATTACTTTTAAATTGTTCTTGAATTCTTCTTTTAATTAAAAGAAAATAAAATTAAATTAAAAGAACTATTGTATAAAATTTCATTTAAATTAATATTGAAATACTAGAAAAAATTTTCTTTTTCATCGCAAACAAATTTAAAAGTGAATTTATTCAAGCGCATCGAATATTTACTTATAAAAACAAATTTTCGTGATTTTTCTTTAGAATTTATAGAAAAAAAACACGTTTTAAATTATTTTAATATTCTGAAATTTGATTAAAGTGAAATTTCTTTTAATTTTAAATAGAGATAAAAGCGAATCTCTATTCTTCCACTGCGCTCTTCGGACTAAAATAATAAATATAATTGTTAAAATTAGAAAAGAAAAAAAAATTTTTAAACAATGAAAAAGTAACTACTCCCGCCAAAAAAAAATCCACGCTTATTAAGTGTCTAAGAATCTATATAATTAAGTGATTTTTTTAAGATTGTTCATGTGCCCTTACAGTTAGTGACAAAAGTTTTTTTTTTAAACAAACTTTTTTAAATTTAAAAATTACTTGATCTTTATTTAAAAGTTAATTTATTTTTATTTAAAAATATGTTTTTTATTTTAGAATAAATATTTTTCTCTTTGATTAGATTTAAAAAAAAATTTACAGATTTTCCCCTATTGTTTCAATTTTATTGAATGAAAAATAAAATAAAGTTTATAATAAATAATTATGAGTTGGAAAATTTTATTTCCAGGATTTTTTTTACTTTACTGTAGCACGTGAACTATCTTTAAAAAAAATAATTAGAAAAAAAACAAATCGAAACGGAAAAAAAGACGCTTTGAGTATCAATGAATACTTAAAAAAAATTTTTTTTCTCCTGTATATAATTATTAGAATTACTGTAAAAAGAACGATATTTGTAATATTATTTAAGTAGTTAATTATTGCTCATAATTTTAATAGGAAGCAAGACGAAAAGTTTTAGTTTTCATTTTGAAAAAAATGTCTTTGAAAAGTGATTATTTTTTTTTGTTTTCCTCTTCAAAGATACCATCAACTTTTTTTAAATTGATTTTTTTTTGTAATAATATTACAAACGATTTTAGTTATTTATTAATTTTTTTTCTTTGTTAAATTGGCACTGCCAAAAGCAGATTAGATTGTAACAAAAGGCCAAGTAATTTATTTTACTTTTATTCTATTTAGAATTTTGAAGGATGTAAAAAAAAGAAAGAATTAATAATTATATTATTGTGTACAGAAAAAAAAATATATATATATATAAATTATCCGAATTTCCACTCTTTTTTTCTTCAGTTCACTAAAAGGTGCAAAAATAATTTTTTTTCCTTCTGTTCTTCAATTTCTTTTGAAAACAGAAAGAAAAAAATCTAATCCAGAATTGTATATTTTTCTTTCTTCTTTTTGATTTTCATTGATACAAAAACAAAAAAAAAGAGCGAGACAATGATAAACTTTTGCTCCTTCCTAATTGTCTTTCCTAATATTATATGGCACTGAAAAAAAATAAGATGCTTATGTGATTCAAAATGTGCATTGTACCCTTAACGAATAGTATTCCAAACTGCATATACTTTGACACATTTGTTCGAAAAAAAATCTCGATTTATAGAATTGTGAAAAAAAAATTATAGACATATGTATATTTAAAATATTATATTTTCAAAATGATCAAGACTGCTGAAAAAAAATCGTGCTCTCTTTTCAGAGAAAAAAATAAAATATACGAATTCTATACATTCGATGTTATGTATTTTTTGGTTGTGAAGAAGCATCGATGAATAAAATCAATTATGAGATTGAATGTGAAATGTTATTTATTATCCAGAATTTTTTTTTTCCGAAATTCAATTATTTTCAAAAAAGTTAATTTCATAAAATTCTCGGCAAATTTTCCATTATTTTCGAAAAATATTTTTCAATTCAATAATTTTCAGTAATTATTTATAAATATTATTATTTTATTTTCAGACATTCAATTATTTTCATAAATAATAAAAATTTTAAAAGGAATTCAATTATTTTAAAAGAAATGTCATAAATTTTTTCGAAAAAAATCAAATAGAATTTTTTTTTTAAATCCTTGGCTACAATTCAATTATTTTTAAATATTTAAAAAAAATTATCGTCAACATTTCAATTATCTTTTTAAATATCAAAATTCTTCTCCGAAATTCAATTTTTTTCATAAATGTTTCTCAATTAAATGATTTTTAATATTTCTACTTAATAAAAATTCCCCAAAAAATAAAATTATTTCAAAAAAAGATTGACAAAGTTCTAAGCAAACATTGAATTATTATTCATAAATACTAAAAATTTTACAGGAAATCAGTTATTTAAAAAAGAATTGTCTTACATTTTTTCGAAAAAAAATCATTTATTTAAAAATTTTTTTTCAATTCAATTATTTTTATAAATATTTAAATTTTTTACTTTTTGTTTCAGAATGACATTTACATAAAAAAAATCATTGAAACAAGAGACTCAAAAGGATGAAATTTTGATTTACCAAGTCACGACTGTGAATGATGAATTGAAATGAAATGAAAATTAAATCATTGTGACAAGATGAAATAAAATTGATGACCTGGACATAATTGTATCCAAATAGGTGCAAAGGGCACTTGCAATTTATCGTATAAACACACTCGTTCGTGAATATGTCGAAAAAATTATGCAATCCAAAGGAGGAGAAAGTATTTACTCATTAACTAAACTTGTTTCCTGTCTGACCATCTCAAGTGACAATCTCTCTTTGCTAATTCAAAAATTGCCAATCAGTATTGCAATTAGAAAAAAAATAAAATTGGCTACTTCGATAAGTAATTTTAAAAATGTAGCTTAAAGACAGAAAAAAGTAGCTATCGAAAAACTAAACTTGACTCAATATTTTTATAATTTCTTAATTACATTCAACAATAGAATAATTTTTAAAAATAAATATTTAAATACCCAATTTATTTTTTCTACAGGAATTAAAATATTTCAAATGATTTCAATGTAACGCATTTTTGAAATTTAAGTTCTATTTCTAAAAATTACAAAAGTAATTCTTTCAAAATTTAATAATTTTTTTTTGAAATTTATATAAATGCATAAAATTATCCAAAACTCTAATCATTTTATTTTATTCAATTCTAAATCAATTTCTATTGGAAAGTTCTACGAGAATGAAAATATTTAAATACAAAAATAAATAATTTATTGAATAATTGAATATTTATTAAATTTGAATTCTTATAAAGAACTTTATCAAAATTGTTATTAAAAAAATTGAATTTTTACGAAGAATTGCATTAAAATTTTTGATAATAATTAAATTAATTCAAGAAATGTAATTAAAAATGAATTTATTTATTTATTTGCATATAATAAATTATTACACTTTAAGAAACAAATTAAATTAATTTTGTTTTAAATAATTGAATTTTTTCGAAGAATTTTATTCAAATTTTTTAAGAATAATTGCGTTTTTAGCGAAATTAATTTAAAATCATATTAAAAATAATTGAAATTCTGGGATAAGTTTTATTATTTATGAAAATAATTGAATTTCGGTCACCGAACTGTAATAAAATTTTTAAAATTTAATTGAATTCTTGAGAAGATTTTTTATTAAAATTTTCAAAAATAATTGAATTCTTGCGAAGAATTTTATAAAAATCTATTTAAATAATTGATTTTTTTCGAAAAATATTAGGAAAATTCTGTTTTAAATAATTGAATTCCTTTGAAAATTTTTTTATTTATGAAAATAATTG